ACAACATCTTTGTTGGTATGTGGTGCTGAGGATCGAACCCGGGCTGCACGCATGCCAGGCGAGCGCGCTACTGCTTGAGCCACATCCCCAGCCCCAGAGATATAGTTTTAATAACAAGTACCAGGTCTTTCAGAATACTTGATAAAAACTGTCTTCAGGAATTAGCTTTCTAGTGTCTACTGGACTACATTTATAATCTAGATTATCAGTCACCTATTATGTCTGGTACAGTTATTTTAGTACTTTGGAAAAGTCTGAGCTTATTTTCCTAGATGCCTTAGTGCTCAAAAATAGTTAATTGTATTAAATGGAAAACTCTGGCTATCTTGCTAATTTTCAGTCATTGCTGTAGTGTCTTCTTTTTTTATTTCTTTATTTTTTAGTTGTAATTAGCCACAATATCTTTATTTTATTTATTTATTTTTATGTGGTGCTGAGGATCAAACCCAGGGTCTTGCACATGCTAGGCGAGCACTCTACCACTGAGCCACAACTCCAGCCCTATAATGTCTTCTTTATTTATAAACTTCTCCCTTTTATACTCACTCTTAATATTGCATTGGAAATGAGTAGAAACTGTATGACATTCCCAAGAGATCCTACTGATTGGTCTAACACTTGAAGAAGCAGGCAGTCTGTCCTCTTGTGAGGTTCTGGAAAGGAAAATCTTCTGTTATTATCTAATACAAACAGTCTCAGAAAGCCAAGCAGACTGACAAGCAATTTTGGCCTTTTGATAAAGTGTTGGAGGTTTTTTAAGAATTTATTTGTAGCATTGGGCTTTTTCCCCCTTGATGAAAATGTTCTGATAGCAGAACCAGTATACCAATATTGACTCTTCAAGGAGGGGAAAAAAATTAAATATGATCTTTAATCCCCAGTAGAAAAAAGTCTTAAACTTAATGGAAGTAATTTATTTTCATTGACTTCATTTGTTTGTTTTAGATATTGCAGATGTATAAGGGAACTTTGCATCTCAAGGCTTCTTTTTTTCTCATCTTTATTGAGGTATAATGAACAAAATAGACTTTTTCCTTTTTAATGAGTCATGAGAAATGTAGATCTGCATTCCCATATGTCTTCTGAAGCACCATATGGAAATACTGTTCCTAGAACTATGGCATTATTTCCTATCATTTCTTACTCCTATGTGTGTTAGTATGTGTGCCAAATAAAGATTTGCTCTTATTACAGATAGCCATTTTATGGAAAGAATTGATTTTGATATGCATTTAAATGAATAAAATATATCCACCTCAATTTTTAAACAAGTTAATATTCTTTGGGTATCTGTTAAGTTACTGCTAAGGTACTAGGAGCTCTATATGGAAAATTTTCCCAAATGTCGTGTTAGGAGATAAGTCAAGAAAGTAAGTAAATTAAATTACCCTTTCAAGGTAATTGATGCATTTAAAAAAAATTAACTATTTTTTAAGTATGCACTTGAGTGGCATTATTGCATTCACAATGCAACAACCACCCATCCATTTTTAGAACTTTTTCATGATCCCAAGAGACTGTGACCAGTAAGCAGTATTTCCTCATCTTGCCCTCCCCAGCCACTGATAGTCAACATCCTACTTTCTATATCTGTGAATTAGCCTACTCCAGATAATTAATATTTAAGTGGAACCTTACAATTTTTATCTTTTTATGTATAGTTTAATTCACTTAATAAAATGAAGGCTCATTTTTTAACATGTGTCAGGATATCATTTTTTTTTTCTTTCAATGCTGGAGATCAAATCCTGGGCTTCAAGCATGCTAAATAGGCAGCTCTACAATCTCCCCCCATGCTATTCCTTTACCATTGTGTGTATATACACCATAGTTCATCCCTCAGTATACAGACACACTTTGGTTGTTTCCACAGTGTGGCTTTTATATGCTGCTGTGAACATTGGAGTGTTCAAGTCTGAGTCTTTGTTTTCAGTTCTTTTAGATATATATCTGTGGATGGAATTATTGACTCATATGGTAATTTTATACTTAATTTTATAAGGATTCACCAAACTTTTTCATAGCAACTAGTTACATCAGCACTTTTATTTTACCAGTAGTACACAGGGTTTTAATTTTTGAAAATCTTCATTTCTAGAGTATAACAAGAACATCTTAGGGCCTGGGGTTGTGGCTCAATGGTAGACCACTTACCTAGCATGTGTAAGGCACTGGATTCAATTATCAGCACCACATATAAATGAATAATTAAAGATCCATTGACAACTAAAACAAATGTTTATAAAAAGAAGTCCTGAAGAGGGGGCTGGGGCTGTGACTCAGTGGTAGATCACTTGCCTTGTATATATGAGGTACTGGGTTCCATTCTCAGCACCACATAAAAATAAATATATAAAGATACTGTGTCCATCTACAACTAAAAAATATTTTTTAAAAATCCTAAAGAGTATGAAGTAGAATTGGTACATTTGTAATACAGTGAAATGTCACCTCTTAGTTGGTATGTCTTCTTAGCAAACAGCCTTTGCAAATAAGATATTTAAGATAACAGTGATGATGATTATGATGATATCATCTCCCAATTGAGTTTTTCTCTCTCCAAAATAATATTGTTATTAACTGTAATTTGACTTTTGCTTCTTAATATGATCTTCATATTATACAGTACAGCATCATATTGAATCAAAATGAGCAATTCATAAAGACTTTAAACTCTTTTTACTATTTGACTTCTTACATAGCCATAAAAAATGTGAAATTGAATTGCCAATGATAAATTGATGGTTTTAATTACTTAAACCAAAATTTGCCAAATTCCTATAAAAATATCTTAGATTGTCCTAGCAATTATCTGGGAATTTGAAGTTAAAAAATAACTGTAAGAATGTGATTTAAAACAGTGCTTCTCAAACTTTAAAATGAAGAATTGTGGTAATTTTGATTAAATGCAGATTCTAATCTCTGGGTCTTTTGGGGCCTGCCTTCTGCTTGCTAACAAAACCTAAGTAATAGTAATGCTGCTAACCAGAGGAATGAACACACCTTGAGTAAGGAGCATTTAAAATATTAATAAGAATGAAACCTAATTGATAAAAATTATTTAAAGGGTCTTCTTTTTATATATATATTTTTTAGTTGTAGATGACTGAACACATTTATTTATTTATTTATTCATTCATTCATTTATTTATTTATTTAATGCAGTGCTGAGAATTGAACCCAGTGCCTCACACATGCCAAGCAAGTGCGCTACCACTGAGCCACAGCCCCAGCCCCTGACAAAAATGTTTTACACTTCTGAAGGCATGCAAAATTATAGAGTGGCACTGCGGTCTGAATTAGAAGGAGATATATTCCATGTTTGTATAATTATGTTAAAATGGATTCTACTGTCATGTATAACTAAAAAAAAGCAATAAAAAATAAATAAAAATAAACTAAGTTATAAATATTAGGTAATGTATTTGAACTTCAAAATTTATAAATTGAATGTACTTATTTTCTTAAAAAGCTGATATGATAGTATCAAGCTTTGGATTTTCAAGTTTTCTATAAAAATATTTCATGTCTTAGTTGCTCTGCCTTAGTTTTTTAATTTTAAAATTGAACAAGAATATCTCACCTATACTTTTTCACTCTTTTTTTTTTTTTTTTTACTGGGGATTGAACCCAGGGATACCTTACCACTGAGCTTATCCTCAGCCACCCCCCCCCTCCTTTTTTTATTTTTAATTTTGGCACAGAGTCTGAGTTGCTGAGGTTGGCTTTAAACTTGCAATCCTCCTGCCTCTGCCTCCCAAGCCACTGAGATTATAGGCATGTGCCACTGCATCCAGCTTCACCTTGATATTGACGAATATTTTTAAATAGTCTTTTCTGTTTTTTTCCTTAGGGAGTGCCTTGGTGAAGCACATGAGCCTTGTGACTGCCAAACATGGAAAAACTGGCTACAAAAAATAACTGAAATGAAACCTGAAGAACGTAAGAAGAATCTTAGATAGCTGTTCTATGTATTTCCAATACCATTCAAAATATAATGTCATATTTCTTATAATCTCATTTAAGAGGTTTTCAAATTTGTTACTGATAAAGCTCCCATGTTTAACATTGCCCCCTGATTAATAATACCCTTTTGGAGATCGAACTTTTTCCAAGGAGGAATCGTTAGACAGGTCCCGTGTTTCTAATAAGACTTTATAGCCTAAGATAAATAGGACATTTGGGGGGGGGGTCACATTTAGTCTTCCCCATATAGCCCTTCTTTATTTTATCCTAGAATGAGCCAACCAACTTTTCTGTACTTTTTGGGAAATAGTATATGATCCATAGTGAGAAGCAACTTCCAGTGAAGAACAAGTGAATTTCTTGCTGTTCTGTGGTTCTATGTATTTACTTAATTAAATACCACATCTATAACAGTTGTTACTGAGACTTCTATAAATAGATTATCTCTTAAAGGGAGAGTGATCAAAGAAATGCTGTGAAGTGATGTTAGTAGTCATGTTTTACAGAGGAAACTAATATCTAGGTTGTACTGAGTGACACAGCATGTGCCTAATGATGAAATGGATTGAACTCTAAGGGGATGCCTTTTTAAATCCTTCCCAGTATCAGTTCCCACATTAACAAATAAATATATCTACTTTGCATTATTTTCCCTACTCCTAAAGTGTTTCTGACAATACTTTCTTTCAAATTAATATAAATGTAAATTAATTTGGTTTGAGTCTTTTTAAAGTTTTTGTTTTTATTTTTAAGTAGTGGAGTTACTATGATGTGTTGCGAATCAGGATCAAGAATTTAGTCACTGAATCTATACTTATGTTCAAAGCACATAATAAAGATGATGCCAACCAGCATGGTGGCTCACGCCTATAATCCCAGCAGTTTGGAAGACTAGGGCAGAAGGATCACAAGTTCAAGGCTAGCCTCAGCAACTTAATGAGACCCTGTCTCAAAATTTTAAAAAATAATTAAAAAGGGCTAGGAATTTAGCTCAGTCGTAAAGCATCCCTAGTACCATAAACAAAAACAAAAGAAAAATGATGCCAGCCTTCAGGGAATGCAGAGATTAAAGGATAAGCAGTCAGTATTATATGATAACTGATACAGTAGGGTAACAATGAGAGTGCAGAAATAAGAACAACTAATTCAGGTTGAGGGTAGGAAGAATAACCTAGAATCTTCTAAAAGAAATAGAATATGAACAAAAATTAGGAATGATTTGTTGACTTCAAATGGTATATTCATTTATTTAACATTTTTGAGTGATGTTGTATGTTAGAAGACAAAATAAGATAACTTATATGCTCTTTCTTAAGATGCATCTTGAAAATGATAGATGTTCTTCACATGAGCCATGATAGGAAGGGCATTTCAAACATAGGATGAAGTTTTACATGTGAAACAACATGGCCTATTCAAGGACTACAAATTCAATACACCAGTGCAGTGGTGCAGTAAGGTGTAGTAACAAATGAAACTACCCAGGCAGGGGTCCAAATCAGACATTGGGTGCAGATAGGGTGTTGTACACAATGCAAGGAAGTCTGACTTGAGACAATGAAAATGAGTTTTTAGTAGGAGAGTGATGAATGAAGATTCCTGCTTAGAAAGACACTAAAGCAGAAGTAGGGATGATAAATCAGAAAGTATTAAAACACCAGGCAAGAACACCTTATCTGAGACAATTTCAGAATGACAAGGTGAGAGAGAGGCTATGAGGGCTTAAACAAGACAGGGGCAATTCAGATGAGGCAGGGGGTATATGCAGGAGAATGAAGAAGATGTAATTGTATTTAGTTGTAATCAAGTATGTTTTTTAGTTGCCTAGAAGATATAATGCACAAGAAGTAGTGTAGCATACTATTTAATTCTTGAGTAGAAAATGTCCAAAAGTATCTAAGATATAAAGCAAGTATTTTGATTGTTAATTGTTTTTAGTTACCCTTTATCGTTTTAAAATTGGATCACTCAACATAGATAAGTTTTTGCAAAGGAAGGAGAGAATAGATATTGGTGGGATTGTGAAAGAATAATCTTGCACATGATAATGATCTTGGTTATAAGAAAAGAAATAGGAGAACTAGAAAATGGTATACATACTATTTATATATGATTACCAATGTTGACCAGAGATAGGGATACCACAAATTTAAAAATGAAGATAGCCAGATGCTGTGGCGCACACCTGTAATCTCAGTGGCTTGGGAGACTGAGGCAGGAGGATCATGAATTCAAAGCCAACCTCAGCAACTTAACTAGGCCTGAGCAACTTAGCAAGACCCAGTCTCTAAATAAAATATAAAAAGGCTGGGGATGTGGTTCAGTGGTTAAGTGCCCCTGGCTTTAATCCCTGGTACCACACACACAAAAAAAAAAAAAAAAAAAAAAACTAAAGGTCATTCTTGAAGAGCCCAAATGGGATTTTGATTCAGAAAGATGAAGAAACATTAGAAAATAGGATAAGAGACAAGAGTCTGAGGACACCTGAGAAATGTTCTACCAGAGAAAACCAAAGCTATGACAGTGAAAAAAAAGTTAAAAGTTGCCAAATCGCCAAAAAAAAAGTAGGTATTTTCTCTATATTGATGTGTGTTCTCCACAGTGAAAGATGGTGGCCTACTAGTCTACTATTAATGACCACTTAAGCTTATGAAATTTATCATGAAACATAAAGCAAATAATAATAGGCCAACTGTAATACTAAAGTAGAACATCATCATTAAATACATAAAAAATGATATTCCAAAAAAGAAAAGTATGGCTGAATGCTATTTTAAGTTACATACTACTTTGAATCATAAGCATTTTTTCTTTGCATATTATGCAAAAATAAATGACAGAAGCTTTTATTTTTTTCTCTGAATGGGCGGATCTCACTGTGTTGACCCAGGCTGATCTTGAACTCATGATCCTTCTGTTCAACCTCCTGAATAGCTGAGATTATAGGTACATCCTACTACACCCAATTCACATAGGCATTTTTAACTAAATTTGTAGATTCTTGGGACAATTTCCTCTCTCGTTCCCAGTTTTCCAAAGTCCCTGAATGATGAAACTAAAAAGCACCAAAATCTTCATTAATGAGAAAAGATATTAAGAAAATACATAAAATCCTCTTGAATTCCATATGAAAATTCAAATAGTTTTTCGAGCACTGAAATTGACCCTATTTTGTTTAATCAAAGCAAGAAGTAATGATTGTATTTTCTGTGAAATGATGTTAATTTATATAATTTACAATTTTTTCATAGTACATATTCAGTAAATGGTTGTGGAATTTAATTCAAATAGTCTATTTAAAAATATAGTCTATAAAAGCAACTGTTTTCACTTGCATACATTTTGATTCTACTAATAAATTTAAGATTCTCTTATACTCTAGCACTTTATTAAATAAAGTTAGTGTTTCTTACCAAGAGACCTAATACATCTAGTTGATGTATTATAATGAACATGCAACTGAAGTGAGGGGAAGAGTTTGAAAGTCAGTAGGAGTAATGAAGATTTACCACAGAGCTTGGAGATAGATAAGGTATTGGAGGTATTAAGAACAGTATATATACAAAGAAACAATGTCTGAAATAAGCATGATCAAAGAATTGGTGAAAAGGTGAAGGCATTTTTTCCAACCTAATTTTTTGTTACAGTAATAGTTGTTTCCTTAATATGATTTACATCATGTAATCCATTAGAATATAGTTGGGAGATAGGGTTCTCTCCAAGGGTAAGAGAAAAAAAATGTTATGTTGCAGGCCACACAGCCTCTTTGTTTTAATGGCTTTGTGCTTTATTTACTATAACAATGGACAATAGGGTCATAAGAATATGTTAGAGCCTCTGAGCTAAAATAACATTGATTCTGAAGAGAGAAACACCACTATTTTTAAACAAAAAAATAAAGTTTTAAATGCAGCATTTACTTAGTTCATAGGTTTTTTAGAAATGCCTTTTGTAAACAGCATTACCATCAGCTTGACCATATTAACCATAAGTATACTAAGTTTTTTCTGAAACTCCTGTCCCCACCAAATTATTTTGAGAATTCTATCTGCCAGCACCCTTGTTGACCCATCTTCTACCAAGTGAATTTAGAAGCAGAGTGAAGTCTTGTCACTACACTGCTGCTGTTGTTTCTCTTTGCTATGTGAAATTAAAAATCAGTCCAACAGTAGGTGCTATTGTGTTGCTATTGCAAGAAAGCCCCACTCCTGTACTGCTAGGTCCCATCTAAGGACTGCTTATAGTGCTCAGTCCCTCCAATTCATATACAAAGCCACTTCCTAGATCACAATCAGCCCAAACTTTTGTCCACTTTCCCTTTCCAGGGACTTATATCTGTGGAGGGGGTGGGGAGAGGTAACTTTTCCTTTCAAACTTCAAAACTCAAAAGGTCTGGTTTCTCCCCTGATTTATAGTAGAGCTAAACACTTAGCCCATCACCCTTTTCAAAGTGTCTGCATATAATTAAAGCCTTGATTAGGCGGGCCGTCCTCCATGATTCTAACATGATTTTCTGACATCTTTGTCACTAATAGAAAGGAAGGACTTCTCAGTGTACTTAAGAACTAGAAAAGAAAACAAAACCTGCTAGATTATTGGCATTCTTACTTGGAAAAAAATATAAATTGTTTGTCTCTAACTCTGTTTGGTGGGTGGGGGGCTTATAAGTTTAAAATCTTTAAAAATCATGTCATTCCTGAAGTTTACAGATCCCAAATTATAATATCATAAATGGAGTTTAAGAACTCTAATGTTGAAACGGTGTGGGGATGTTGAGTGAGCAATGGTGGCCAAGTAGATGACCAGATGATAAAAAAAAAATTTGTATTTTTTGCTAAAGCAATTTGAATTTATCTTGTAGTCAGTGAGGAACAATTGAGAAATTTTAAGCAGATTTTATTTTAAAAAGATCATTATATAGGCAGTTTAGTTAGGAGTGGGACCGAGAGGGAACTGGGGATATAGGTTGGTTTTCTATACTTTCATTGTCTAGGCAAGGGGTATGTAAGATTCTAGCTAAAGCAGTAAAAAGTGGGAGTGGAGAGGAAACAGATATGAAGGAGAAAGAAGTAGAATCACTAGGATGCCCGGAGGAAGAGGAAGAGGAAAATATTGAAGATTATATTCCTCCCGGATTGACTCTGGGCAGGCATTATTTATCTATACAAAAGCTAGAAAAAAGAACATGTTTGGGAAAAATGGTTAAGTTTACTTTTAGACATGTCACATTGGATTCATTTTAAGTTTATCCAAAATAATTATGGATAACAAAAAAATTGATATTTAATACTTTTCACTATAATGAAGAATTTCTGATAATTATGTTTGCAACTGGATTTAAGTAATTATTGTCTACAGCAATCATTCTTTGGTTCTTTTCTTTCTAGTTTGTTTGGATACAAGTTTATAAGGGAAAAAAAAACTTCAAACTAGATTTGATAAATAGGACTTTTGGGATAAAGCTTTTTATCTTTATAATTATGCCAATCAAAATGAAGCAACTTAAAAAATGTTGCCATAAACCCTAATAGGAAAATAAATATACGATTAAAATGGAGAGTTAACCTGGAAGTAAAGTGTGGGTTTTTTCCTCTGTGAAGTTGTACACAAAATCATTTCTTTTTATGTTTGTGCTTCCAAAGTTGTGGGAGTTAGTGAAGCTTATGAGGATGCTGCCAATTGTCTCTGGTTGTTAACTAACTCCAAACCTTGTGCTAATTGTAAGTCTCCGATACAGAAGAATGAAGGCTGCAATCACATGCAGTGTGCTAAGGTAAGAATTGGAGTGTTTTATATGCTTTGCAGTTGGAATCTTAATATAAGTTGATTGTCAACCCAAAGCAGAAATGTTGCTTTGCTAATGAAACCATCAACTAAATAAGAAATTATCGTATTGAAAATTAAAATGCCAACATGATCCACTTAACTGAAAAATCATAAATAATTAGTTTTAGAGTACTGAAGGCTAAATAGAATATACCCTCCTGATTTCATTGCACAAAAACAAATTACTATATGTTTCAAATATTCTGGAATTGATCCCTGCTTATATTTTGAACATCTCTGTTATAAAATTGTAATGATATGCTGATGTTTTATCATGTCATCAATGTTTTAAAATGATTATTTAAACTATAGTAATTTTTTCTCATTTAGAGAAACTCAAATAGTTAAGATTTCTATAAAATATTTCAGTATCTTCTAAGAATTACTTGATTTTTAACCTGAAATTTAATGATCATTGTAGTTATAACTTGCAAAAGAATGGCAGTTAGAAATGTTATTACAAAACTGTGTTATAAGATTCACATATATAGCTAGGCACAGTGGCCTACACCAGTAATCCCAGTGACTTGGGAGGCTGAGACAAGAGGAACACAAGTTTGAGACCAGCCTCAGCAACTTAGTGAGACCCTATCTCAAAATAAAAAGGGCTGGGGATGTAGCTCAATAATAGAGTGCCTCTGATTCAATTCCCAACACCACTATAAATCAATCAATTAAATTTAACATAAATGAATCAGTTTAGTGAGGGAATAATAATGATTCCCCAAGAGACAGAAAAATCTAGTGCAATGTTCTGGGCAAAATATTTAAAAGTGCTTATTAATATGGCTAAGGATTGGACTAAAATCATTTCATCTAATTATGGTATTATTTCCAATATTCATATTCATTTTTTTCTTGGAAAATCTTATATAGATTATACATGTAAGGAAATACAGATTGACTCTAAAATTCATAGTTGGCTGAGATAGAATTCTACTTTACCTTTATTTCCTTCATAGCACATACCTGTATGAGTAAAGGAATATCTAATAATGCTGTCTGAAATGTTTGCATTCAAAGTAGAAAAATAGCATTCTTATTATGACATGTAAGACATATTTAGAGAGTAATAATCTTACAGCAAAATTGAATACTTCAGAAATATTTTTTAAATGTGTAGGTGAAACAACATTTCATATGTAATTGAATCCATTCTGCACCACAAAGACTAAATCACAGTATAGCTTTTATTAATGCCTCAGCATTGATTATGATTCAGTAAGCAATTTTTCTTTCTGGAATCAAATATGTTAAACATTTTAAAAGAATGACAAATTTAATCTTCTAAAAATATGTTTATTTATTTTTAAAGACACTATTTATTCTATAAGTGTCCCCTTAGATAATTTTTGGTAGCTATTTAACTTTTTATTCTTAAATATTTTAAATTACTTGTACTAATTTTCTTTATCTCATTCTGTGCGAAATTTTATGCCATGACTAAAAAGCAAAAATTATTGACGTTCTATATTCCTCTTCCTGCTTGAATTCAGTCCCCAGTAAGAAGGAGGGGGATACTAAGACATTTTATCTGAGCCTTGAAATAAGTTTATAGTTTATTATGTTGTAAACGGCTTTAATTCAGTTCTCTGTCCATTTCATATTAGGCAGACAAAGAATTTAGGGAATAGAGGGCACCAATACCATAATTAACTGAAGTGTATATGTTTATTATATATATCAAATTCTATATCCTGAAAATGTGAACTCTGCCATCTTTTCAAGCACCATGAAGCATTGTACACAAAAAATTGATCACTAATCATCAAAACTTCATTAACTTTCCAAAAGTAGAAAATAATACAAATAATAATCTCTGATCATAAGGGAATAAAATTGAAATTAAAAATAAAGTTATATAAAAGGCCTTTTCACGTGGAAATTTTTAATCTTTCAGACAACATAAATGAACAAAATGTAAATTAAAGAATTTTCTAGGGACTGGGGTCCTGGCTTAATGGTAGAGCTCTTGACTAGCACATGTGAGGCACTGGATTTGATCTTCAGGACCACATTAAAATAAATAAATAAATAAAGGCATTGTGTTCATCTACTACTAAAACTATTTTTTAAAGATCTCTAGAAAAAAAAATAATGAAAATGACTTATCAGAATCTAAGGGCTGCAGCTAAAACAATACTCAAAAATATGTTCAGCCATTTGCTGATAAATAGGTGGAATTATGCTAAGTGAAACAAGTCACACCCAAAAAGTCAAAAGTCAAGTATTTTCTGATATTCAGAGGTCAGTCCAAAATAAGGAGGGTGTGTGTTCCATCTAAATAGAAGAGAGATCAATGGAGTAGACAAAAGGGGAGAGAGGAGGGACGGGATAAGAGAGGAACATTGCAATGAATCTGATCTAACTTTCCTGTGTACATATGTGAATATGTTGCAGTGAATCTGACCATCAAGTATACCTGTAAGACATTGGATGGGAAGGGAAGTACTGGGGACTGCATTAGAGCAAACTATATTCCATGCTTTTATAATTATGTGAAAATGAATCCTAATGTTACAGATAACTAAAAAGAACCAATGAAAAAATATGTGCAGCCTTATTCACCTAAAATAATACAAAATAAAGAATTGAGAATGTGATTCAGAAATTTAGAAAAAGAAATTTTAACACCACAAGGTTTAGTGCATGGGGGGCAGAAAGACAGTGGAAAGATATGGACATCATTACCTAGGGTATCTAGATACTTGTATGACTGTACATATGGTGTGACACTACACTGTGTACAACTATACAAATGTAAAGGTATGCTGCAATTGTGTACAATAAATCAAAATGCATTCTGCTGTCATACCTAATTAAAATAAATTAACTTTTAAAAAAGAATTGCAGAAATTAGTGAGCTTTGAAAAACAATGCAACAACAAAGAATCAAATTATTTTCTGAAGAAAAAATATAGAAAAACCAGTAAGCATAATAAATAATGGAGTTGAGAGAGTTCAAATATACCAAATAAGAAACAGGGAAACAGTCAGAGAAACACACAAAAATAAAATAAAATAATCAGAGAAACAAACTGGAATAATAAGGAATAATTTAGCTGAACCCTTGCAAATATATTTCAGGCTGGATATGAATGGATTATTTTCTCAGAAAAAAAGTAATTAGTTAAAAGTGACCCTAGAAGAGAAAAAATATCAATTGTCTTCATTCCCATAAAGAGAAAGAAAGTTTTACAAAGATAAGCCCCACCACAAACCCCATTAAGGATCATTTCCTTCTTTTTAGTCCCTTCAATGCGTCCTGACAGTTTCACAGGAGAATTTTATCAAACCTATAAGGAACAGGTAATACCAATGTCATTTAAACTGTTCCTGGGATTTTTTTAAATTTATTTTTAAAGAAAACATGAAGTTATTTTTATTGAGTAGAACCTTAATACCACTTGACAAGATCATAAAAATAAAACTTTAATCTTACTTATAAATAACAATACAGAAGTCCTGATAAGATATTAAAGGAGACAAAAAGCACACAAAGATATTTGCAGACAATATGAGAACAAATAAAGAGAGTAATTGATGAGTCAGGGTTTATTCTACAAGAATGGTTCCAGGGCTGAGGTTGTGGCCCAGTGGTAGAGCACTCACCTAGCACATGTGAGGCCCTGGGATTGATCCTCAACACTACATTATAAATAAATAAAATAAAGGTATTATGTCCAACTACAGCTAAAAAATAAATTTAAGAAAACTGGTTCCATATGAGGAAAATTGTTACTCTACCTCATTTTATTGGTAGATCCAAAGAGGAAAGTCATATATTTTCTATAGATGCTGAATGGCTTTTGACAAAAGTTTTAAATTTTTTCTTTTTTAATATTTTTAGTTGTAGATGGGCACAATATCTTTATTTATTTACTTTCATGTTGTGCTGAGGATCAAACCCAGTGACTCAAGCATGCTAGACAAGAACTCTACCACTGATGGGCTGGGGATGTGGCTCAAGCGGTAGCGCGCTCGCCTGGCATGCGTGCGGCCCGGGTTCGATCCTCAGCACCACATACAAACAAAGATGTTGTGTCCGCCGAAAAACTAAAAAAATAAAATAAATAATAAAAATTCTCTCTCTCTCTCTCTCTCTCTCTCTTTCTCAAAAAAAAAAAAAAGAAGTCTACCACTGAGCTACAACCCCAACCCCTAACAATTTTTATAAACACTCAAATCAATAAAGAATGGACTCTTTCTTTTTAAGTGTGATAAAAATAAATTGTTTCCATGAAAGCTAATATATTTAGTGGGGAAATTAGTGGCAGCTCCCTAAACACAAAAATAAAGTAAGGATGCTCTGCATTATTGTATTATCATTAACACTGAACGGGTAATACTGGTCAACATAATTAGACAACATAAAGAAATTAAAAGGGGCTGGGATTGTGGCTCAGTGCTTGCCTAGCGTGGGTGAGGCACTGGGTTCAGTCCTCAGCACCACATAAAAATAAATAAATAATAATAAAGGCATTGTGCCCACCTACAACTTAAAAAATATTTTAAAGAATCGTTCTGTTGGGCTGGGATTGTGGCTCAGCATTAGAGCGCTTACCTAGCACGGTTGGGACCTGAGTTCGATCCTCAGCACCACATAAAAATAAAGGCATTATGTTGTGTCCATCTACACCTAAAAAATAAATTTAAAAAAAAATTTTAAAAATTATTCTCTTAAAAAATTAAGAGTTGTAAAAGTTAGATTAAATATTAGGTAATATTGCAGATGGTATGATTGTATGCCTAGAAATCCATAAAAAATCACTGAAAAACTTCTACAAATAAAAATTCAATTAAGTAGCAGAGTACAAAACTAATATACAGAAAGTAATAATATTCATATGTACAAGCATTATTTATCTAGAAATAAATTTTAAAAATATGCATGACTTTTATAGAAAAAATTTTTAAAATCTTCTAGGGTCCAAAGGATGATGAACAAATAAAAAGACAACCAATTTCTTAAATAGAAAGACTCAACAAAAATACCACAAGTTTTGTTTCTGCATCTAGATAAACTTAATTCAAAAAAGTTTTTGTTGGAGGCTGTGCAACTCAGTGGTAGAGCACTTGCCTAGTATGTGAGACTCTGGGTTCAATCCCCAGCACCGAAGAAAGATAGAAACAAACAAGTCCATAAGGGAAATCAAAGCAAGAATAACTAGGAAAACGGAAAAAGAACAGTAAAGTGGTATTAACCTTGATAAGCCATATTACAAATCCTCAATAATTAAAACAATATGGTGCTGGCATGTGAATAAACAGATCATGAAACACAACTTAAAGCAAGCCCAGAAAATAGATACACATACATGGGAATTTAGCATATGGTAAAGGTGGTATTCTTAACCAGTAGATACACATGAATTATTCAGTAATTGGTAATAGGATAGTAGGACAGCTATTGGGCGTGGGAATAAAGTTAGTTTCATACTGTATACCCAGATAAGTTTCTAGTAGCTCAAAGATTTAAATGTTTCTTTAAAAAAAAAAAAAGTGACCAGAAAACAACATAGACTTAGAATGGGAAAATGTTTCTGATTCAGAATCCATGTTCATATTTTTGGCATTTTCTTCTAATTATGGCATATTAAGTAAATGAAATTTTCTTTAAAATGGGAAACAACTTTCTGTCAGCTCCTGTACTTAGAGACCTTATAAACATTGCAGTTTCAAAACCAATTTGTCTATCAAGTTGCCAGAAGTTTTTCAAAAGGAACATAGAACTTCAGAGACCAGTGTCAGATTACCACACACTTGAAAAAAATGAAACATTTATCACTATTTGTTGTAGTATTTGAAACAAATATCCTACTGATATTTTTATTGTTTCTTTTTGATTACTTCATAAAATATTGTGATTTTATTTTTGAGTTATACCTAGAAGTAACAGTTTTAAACTACCCTCACATCTTTCCATAATACAGATAAGATAGCAAAAGGAAATATGAGAAAGAGAGCATATCTTTGAGATGTTTTGTTTCTGGTCACATAAGCAGAATTGTTTAATCATTACAAATTGATTGACTAAAAAGCAGAACAGCATTTGTATATTAACAGGGAAATGTTATGCATGTATGTTTTCTTTTGAAGTGCAAATATGACTTTTGCTGGATTTGCCTAGAAGAATGGAAAAAACATAGCTCTTCCACTGGAGGTTATTACAGATGTACTCGCTATGAAGTCATTCAACATGTGGAGGAGCAATCCAAAGAAATGACTGTGGAGGTAAAGAGAACTGATTAAGCCAAGACTTTATATTTTTGTATAAGCCACTTAAACCATGAGAAGTATTTTGCATTTCTTCTTTTCCTGTCTTCATCTTTTTTTTTTTCCTACCAGGAATTGAACCCAGAGATGCTTTACCATTAAGCTACACCCCCAGCCCTTTAGATTTTTTGAGACAGGGTCTCTCTAAGTTACTTAGAGCCTTACTAAATTGCTGAGGCTGGCCTCAGATTTGCAATCCTTCTGCCTTAGCCTCCAGAGCCCCTGGAATTACAGGTGTCTGCCCCCTTACCCAGCTCTTGTCTTCATCTTAATGAGGCATTAAAATTGAATACACTTTGGAGGAGGCTTTAGTTAAAACAAAGTAATCTATAAACTTGACAGTTTTTTCTCCTTTTAAGCTTTCCCTTTTGATTTTGATGAGTATGAAAAGCCTAGTCTCAACCTGCCAATGTAAAGACTTAAAAATAATTTTCGTAAAATATCAACAATACAGTATTACATTATAGCATACAGTGTGTTAGTCTGCTCAGCTGCCAAAGATGGGGTAGCTTAAACAATAGAAATTTATTTTTCACATTTCCAGAGGCTATGAAGTCCAAGATCAGGGTTCTAGCTGACTGGTTCTTGGTGAGGAGATTCTCAAATTGGTTTGCACACAGCCAGCCACCTTCTCACCTGTGTTTTTATGTTGTCTAGGAAAGATAATGAGAGCACTCTGGTGTCCCTTCCTCTTCTGATTAGGACACCAGCCCTATCACATTAGATCACTGTACTAATGGCGTTATTTAACTTTTATTACCTCCTCAACAGGCACTGTCTCCAGAAACACTTTGGGGTTAGGACTTCAACATAAGAATTTCAGTGGGACACAGATTAGTCTCTGACAATAAACCATATGATAAGACATTGAAGGGCTTGGGGTTGTGGCTCAGTGGTAGAGCACTTGCCTAGCATGCATGAGGCACTGGGTCTGTTCCCTGACACCACATAAAAATAAACAAAATAAAAGTATTGTGTCCTTCTACAACTAAAAAAAAATTTTTTTAAAGACATTGAAGATGTGAAGATGTCTAATGGGTTGTTGTAGAGAATACCAATTTAGACTTTGTTTTGAGAGCCTTTAAAATGTATTGATTATTATTTTTTTTCAGAAAAATAACCAACAAATCTGTATGCATCACTACCTATTACTAATAAAAAATTTAAATTATCTCTCCAGAACTAATTTTAATAATTAGTAGTTTTTGTAAAAGTTATTAATGGACTTTTGTTTTCTAGGCTGAGAAAAAACACAAACGGTTTCAGGAACTTGATAGATTTATGCACTATTACACAAGATTTAAAAACCATGAGCATAGTTATCAGGTATGTCTCAAATCATTTTAAATGAGTTGAACCACTCTGTTTTAAATAAATAAAGAAGATGGCTTAAATTATTTATTTTTGTTCCTTTAGTTAGAACAACGCCTTCTTAAAACAGCCAAAGAAAAGATGGAGCAATTGAGTAGAGCTCTCAAAGAAAGTAAGTTCTAAGAGATTGGGTTATAATTAATATAAAATATTAATTAATATAAAATGTCCTTCCATACTAATCCAGTTCACTGATTAGAGATTAGGTCTCTAAAGGAATGTATTATAGTCATTAACTCACCTATGTCCTTATGTTGTCTGGGAAAGAGAATGAGATTGCTCTGGTGTCCCTTCCTCTTCTTATAAGTCCCTTCCTCCTCTTATAAGACTTTATTTGTTGTGATAGGATTTTCCACCTGGCACCTAGCCTGCTTCTCTTAATGTAGCCTATGGTGACAAAAACACATCATGACTTTGTTTACATTGTGCCTTTGCTGATGCTCTCAAGTGATGGGAAAAGTGATGGGTACTAAAGGGCATTCCTGACATAGTCAAAGGAAGCAACATACATTTGCTACCCAAATGTCATGAAACTGAATACCATAAAATTCTTGAGAAATTCTTGGCAGAGTGCCTAATGGAGTCAAAATAAAAGTTTGGAGAGAAATAGTTTCACTGGTAAGTAATGAAATCAAGGTCAAAAGCAAAGCCATAAGAAGAGCTAACACTTATAAGTCTTAAGTTATAAAAGAGTATTCAATGTGACTCTGCAATCTTTATAATGTTTTTGAATAACCAATAAAAAATAATAATAAATTTAAAAAAATAAGAGTATTCCTAAATATGGATTAAGTGCTAGTTACATCATTAGAACATAATATCCCACAGTGACCACACAATACAGGATATGGTATGTTTATTTTTAAAAATCATATCTTAAAAATAGTCCTACCATTTATATGAATGACATATTTAAGCCTGAAAATGTGATCAATTATATTTGTATTTGTTCCAATTTATAAAATAATAAGTACTAATAACCTTTTTTGTGAAAATGATTCCCTAATAAGACAGTAACCATAAGATAAATAGAGAAGGGAAGAATGTATCAATAGGCTTATTCTTGTTAATTATTAGTTTGTAGACATTATTAATGATATATCACACTAATATCAAGCTCTAGAATATTGTCCACAGTAAAATTGAAAGGGAAAAAATTATCACAGGTTACATAGTTCTTTAGCAGAGATTTTTGTCTATTCTGTCATTAATGTATTCCTATTACCTAGAACCATGCCTGACACGTAGTAAACAATAAATATTTGCGATATGAATTACTGCTTTTATTCAACATTTGGTGGTTCTAGGCAGTATATAAAATGTGAAAAAATTTAAAAAATAAGAATTGAAAAAGAAGATACAATTTCATGCACTTCTCTCACATAATAAGCAAGGGGCATGTTGGTTTGGTTTGTTTTTTTACATTCTGTAGATACCAAATGTTGAACAAAAGCAGAAATTTTAGGGTGGTATATATATCTGTGAACATACAGATGTAATTGAAATCTAAAGGCATGCAAAATAATCTGGTTTTCAACAGTACTTATTCTTTTAGATTCTGTAGTTTGTTAAAGAAAAAGCTAGAATGCTGTAAAGATATTTTTGCTTTATTAAGACAATTTCTTCTTCCCTGCTCCTCACTCTTTCTTTTTTCTCTCTGATGTTTTTTATTTACTAGAGTTAGTTATCCATTTGTTCCTCAGAATGTAGTATCTTTTTCCTGTGTTGTATTTGCAGAGGGTTGATTATAATTAGATTTTTTTTTTTTTTTAAGCAAGCAACTTAGCAAAGGCATTTGTTCTAATTCTTAAGCAACAAAGTTCCCCTAGGGCCAGGGTTGTAGCTCAGTGGTAGATCACTTACCAAGCATGCATGAGGCACTGGATTCGATCCCCGCACCACATAAAAATAAACAAAATAAAGGTATTGTGTCCATCTACAACTAAAAAAAAATATTTAAAAAAAGTTCCCCTAGATATAATCTGAAAAATTTAATAAAACATTAAACCTAAAGCTGTATTTGTTTACCAGTGGTTAAGGAAAAAATCCAGGATGAGTGTGCATTCTTCATGGCTCCTGGGCTGATCTGAATGCCTTCACTATCACATGCATATCACATATGAATATTTCATATAGGTTTTTAGTTTAGCTCAAATAAGTATCATAGAACTACTTTAGTTTCTTCTTAAGGATTTGTTTTTAAGAAAACAGTTGTTTGGTTAATTTTATAATAAAATAGTTTGCAAAAAAAACTTCACTGTGCCTTAATTCCTTTATTATAGCTGAAGGAGGCTGTCCAGATACCACTTTCATTGAAGATGCAGTTCACGTGCTCTTAAAAACTCGGCGTATCCTCAAGTGTTCTTATCCATATGGATTTTTCTTAGAACCTAAAAGCACAAAGAAAGAAATTTTTGAACTAATGCAAGTAAGATATCTTTTTAAATTTATATTTCAAATGACAGCAGTTATATGTAGCTTATAAATAAAAACTAACCAATAATAAACTGAAATTTTCTTTCATGTTTAAATTTTTCACTGCAAGTTTGAATGAGTCATGAACTATGCTAGCATTTGTTTCTTTGTTTTAAACTGGTTTTTGAAGTTTATCCTCAAATATGAAACAAACCACATTATATTCTAGATTAGAAGGTTATGTTTACTGGTTTATTTTTAAAGTACAACTCAAAAAGTTACAGTATTTAAGAGAATGGTGAATTGCTACCTATACTTAGGAGAAAATTAATAGATGTTAAATGTGTGCCCCACTAGTATAATACTTAATTCCAGTGGAGCAGTTCATGATTTAGTCCTCAGAAAATATTTTAGCAGAAATGGACTAGGATTAAAAAAAATTGCTTCTTACCCAATTATGCTTTTTGCATTTCACAAGGCTGTGCTAAATAAATGTATGTTATATTTTTTTCTACCAAAAAATAGTATGCAAATAAACATGTTCGATTTAAAAAAAAAAAAAAAAAAGTTGGGCTGGGGATAAGCTCAGTTGGTTGAGTGGTTGCCTAGCATTCACAAGGCCCTAGGTTCAATCCCCAGCACTACCAAAAAAAAAGTTACAGAATTTAAAAAGCTAAAATACCTGAGTCAGCTGAAGTCCTTATAACCAATCAACTTCATTGTACACTCATCTTTTTTTGAAGCCATCAAACTTCCTTCTTTTCTACTGTCATGTATAACTAATTAGAACAAATAAAAAATATTTTTTTAAAAAAACTTTCTCCTTTCGTTACAGTTTCATGTATTATTTTCAAGCTGTCCTTACTAATTTATATCCTGCATTTCTTTTAAGGGTCAATATTCATTTTCTCCATAGCCTTTAAGGCCTAACCCCAAATCACAGTGGTCTTACCTTGCCTCAGATTCCTTCAGCATTTATATATGGTCTACATCATAACATCTTGCATGTGGTTGTATAGTGTCTTGAAGTATATTACACATTTCACATATCTATAAATTCTTATAGATACTTTTGATGTTCAATGACTGTAATCTGTACCGACTATATCACTATAAATACCTATTGTAATCTACATTTCTATAAATACCTATCAAATAAGTGTCATTTTCCTGAAATTAGGGGGATTCTTTCTCTTTCATAACCTGGAAAAATGTACATAGTAGTAAGTATGTCAAATAGGAAGTTATTTCAAAATGTGTATTACTTTCTGACTCCAAAAGAGTGAGACTTATCTAGGAGACCAGATCAACTCTGGATTTGCTACTTACTAACACATTTAGCCTATAATCTTTTTTTTTTTTTTTCCCTCATGCCATAGACAGACCTAGAAATGGTCACTGAAGACCTTGCCCAAAAAGTCAATAGGCCTTACCTTCGCACACCTCGCCACAAGATCATCAAGGCCGCATGCCTTGTACAGCAGAAGAGGCAAGAATTCCTGGCATCTGTGGCTCGTGGAGTTGCTCCAGCAGACTCACCAGAAGCTCCAAGGCGCAGGTAAAAAGGATAGAAACCACTTTAGCTTGAGCCATAAATGCCAGCAGTTGTATTTTTTATCCAACTAGGGTTCATATGCCTGGAGGTTACTTACACCTAAAATATGGATAGCCAATAAAAGTATGTTACTTTCTTTTTGGTGATATTTTTTCTTCAGTACTATTTCTATTTTATTTGGCATTTCTTTTTTGTTTGTTTATCATTGTATAGTTCCTGAAACTAATTAGACTAGATTAATTTCACATTTCAGGTGAACTCACAATTCATAGAGTATTCAAATGCGCCATTTCCAGTATATAATATATATAGTGATATGATAAGTCACAGGCATAATATAGAATTTGGAAACTGCCAACTTGTTATGGTCATATTTGTATTTTTGTGTAAGGACTTGTAAAGAAATGAGAACTCTGCTAATACTAAAGTTACTTAAATGATTCAAATTTATCCCTAAAAAGAGCAGTTGTTTTGGTTGTTTCATTTCAGATACTTAATACTACTTCTGCCACTGCAAATTGAAGCATATTTTATTATTCATAATGATTACAAGCATTACTTATAAAGTAAAAATAAAAGCAGTTGTAAAAATATTTTGTTATAACATGCTGATTTTTATTTTTTTGTTATTTTGCACAAACAAAGCAACTTGGAATTTGGAAGAAATGATGAATATCATTTTAATAATCGATCTACTTTGGTTAAGCAAATTCTTAGTAGAAGAATTAAAAGTAATGTTCAAAGGGCAAGGGTCTGGTGGTATGTACTTTATAGTACTGATAATAAATCAAATGGTATGTCTAATTTCTTTGTAGCTTTGCTGGTGGAACATGGGATTGGGAATATTTAGGATTTGCATCACCTGAGGTAATTGTTTTGTGGGGGTTTTTTGATTGTTGTTTTTGTTTTTGTTTTTGTTTTTTTCTTAGCACAACCCTGCTTGCATTTGCACCTTCATCTATTCTAAATCCTACTAAGGTTATCAGCAGTGCTTTCTCTTTATTTTGTAACAAAAATGCTTCAGCAGAACCTACATTTAGCTCTTCATAGTACTGGAGTATCATCACATTGTTAAATGTATCCCCCTTTTATTGTTCTTAATTCCTAAACAGAACTTAGGCAAATTTACAACATATTATTTTGGAAGATATCTTCTAATTTTTTAATAGAGGTAATTTTTACTTATTAGAAATGGGTTTCTATTTGTAATATTATTTTAGTCTGAATCTATTAAAAACCTAAATGAATGATGTATTTTTTATGTTACTTCAATAAACTTGAGAATTAATTCATAATCAAATTACTACAGTGTGAAATTTTGCAGTGATAATGTTCATATTAAAAGAAATGCTTTGCTTAGTTGCTTTCTGCTTCTCTTTAAGACTTTCTTATTCTTATTTGTGTTTTTGGTTCTTGTTATTGAAATGTCATTTTAAACTACAGAAAATCTAAAATACTTAATACTGCAACAAGCAGTTGTGGCAAATAAGTCAGAGTGAAAATCTTAATCACAAATATTTTCTGAGATTTAAATTGCCAATGTCACCTTTATATCTGATTTTTAAATTATTTTAGCAGTTTTCTGCTTCTCTTTCCTTTGCTCCTTATAATATAGTATAGCATTTGATACTTACATTCCTCAGTTTATTCTTGAAATGAAGCAGGACAAATGATGAAACCTTTGTGTATCATTTATACCCCATTTTTTTGTGAAAATGATTATTATTCAGAATATTATTCAGAAATGACTATGGCTTATTTAAATCAGACACTTTCTCTTTTCAGCTTCTGAGGATACTTGCAATCACCTTGTGGCCTTTTGTATTGGTAGATATCTTTAAGAAAATATTGACTTGAGAAAACAGTGCTTATAAGGCATATGGAAATTTTAAATTCACTTTTAATTGCAAAAATATATATATATAATAATGAAATTTTTATTGGAAAACAAATTACAGACCTTCTTCTTTACCTGGTTCTAGACTTATTTCTGTATTATAATATGATTATAGCTTTGGGGATATTATGGGAAATTTATGCCTAAAAGGAGGAATAGATAACTTCATTTATCAAAAACAATGAACACAGTTAAGCAAAAATAAAACCTTTATCAGTGTTCATAATAATGTTTGTATCATCTTGATGCTTCTGGCTCTGACAGTAACTTTAGAGATTCTGAAATATTTGGCCTGCTAATATGACTATTACTTAAATTTTTGTTTTATGAATTAATTCCACAAAAATTATTTAATCTACTTTTGCTTTTCTTTATTCTTTGACATGTTGAAATTCAAAACTTTTGTGTAAACTTTACAACAAAACCAAAGAATTACCACACATTGTGAGACTTTCAAATTCTGTATGTGACTATTCAATATCTGCCAAGATTATATTTTTAAAAGTTATCTCTTTGTCTTAGGATAGGCTATGGGGAAAGGAGAATAATTTTACTTAACTCCAGTAGACTTTTAGGTTAGATTCATATTTTTTCAGTGAAGTTAATTTTACCTTATTTTATTTACATTAAATTGCATGAAGCTGGGTGCATCTGTAATTCCAGCAACCCAGGAAGCTGAGTTAGGATTGCAAATTTGAGGCCAGCCTCTTCAACTTAATGAGGCGCTGTCTCAAAATAAAATATAAAAAGGGTTTGGAGCATGTGTAACTCAGTGGTAAGTACCCCTGGGTTCAATCCTCAGTACCACAAAAAATAATAATAATAAATAGATAAAAATTTTAAAAATAAATTACATGAGTCCATGGCAGGCACAAGTATTTGTTTTATGCTACTTATGTATTTATTTATTTATTTATTTATTTATTTATTTATTTATTTATTTATTTTCGACAGCCAGCTCAGACTACATACAGTTCCCATCATCATGTTTTATGCCACTTTAAAGTCAGGGAAATTTTGTTTAAAGAGCATAGTCTTAAAGTCTGAGAAACACCTGAGTTCAAGTGTTTCTAGTTCTCTAACTTACTAGATCTTAGCATGTTCTCTTCCTTAACTTCTCATCTTTAAAATACAGGCAGTGGTATTCACCCCATCAAGTTCTAGAAGAATTAAAGACTGTCAAGGCATTGACAAAATTGGTGCCCAATAAATGGTGGCTCTTATTATTCAAAAGAACAAACTTCTGGCAGCCTTTCTTCCTATTATCCTAGAACTTTTAAATCTTCTCTGTGGCCTTAACACTCTCAAACCATGTATAGCATCCTGACTAAAGCCTTTTTGTGTATTTTCTCAAAGATCTTAGGATTCCTTGGAAATTTTTAGATAATTTTATGAAAGCAATTTTTTTAACATGTTACATCATCAGAGAATGTAATTTGAGAGTTTTTTTAAAAAAACATTTTTTCTTTAGTTGTGGTTAGACACAATACCTTTATTATTATTTTTTTTAACGTGGTACTAAGGATCAAACCCAGTGCCTCACGCATGCTAGACAAGTGTTCTACCTCTGGGCCACAACCTCAGCCCCAACTTGAGAGGGGTTTTTTTTTTTCAGAATAATTAGAAATATTATTTTTATCAAGTCTACAAAATAAGCAGATTTTCCTCATATATGAACCTTTAGTTGAGATAAAATTTTCACACCATTTTTGTCCAAGAAATGTGGTCTTCTGTGGTTCATAGAGCCACATAATGACATAATAAATAATCTAGCTTGAGACCATGAGCCTCCAGAAGAAGAAATGATGCCCAGTTTACCCAGAATTTTTAAAGAAACTAAATAATCCCTCAGTGTACTTTCAGTCATTGGTTTCTAACTTGGTAGGATGCCCCTTCTCTCCCTTATTAAGATTCCAGCTAAACTTAGATAAATGAAGAAGTTTAAATAAATTTAATTAGAGTAGTGTGATATAGAAGTTTTATGACGTAGAACTTGTCTTCACTTATTCCTAGTACTGTCACCATATAAGTACATTGACTATTCTAGAGTAACTAAGATAATCATAAACCTGAGAATTTTTATGTTTATCACTATAAGATTCCACAGTGATTCTGCAAATTAACCTTTTTATGCTAGTGTCATGCACTCTGGCCTCTGTTTTATTCTTATTTCCTCTGCCACTAAAATCTAGGAAAATACATTTATACTCAGGTAATAGCAGATACTCCCAGCTATCACCTTGGGTAATAACAACCCTATCTTAAGCTGTTGTCACAAATATAAAATAGATTTATGGACATTTGTCTAAATCTGTACTCTTCCCACTTGCTAAATAGAAAACACTTCCCTTTCTTATATTGTAGATAATATCACATATTGGCTAATAAGAGAAGGAAGCTCAGTGACATTTTCTTTTAAAGCTAACTTATTTCTTTTAATCTAGTCATTTGAGTTGTGAATGTGGTATGTGGTAGTTCCAAAGAGTAGGAAGTTCAACAGTCTGACAAATACTTAACAGTGTGTGTATGTGGTTTGACATTTTTATTATTGTTATTGTCCCCATCTCTGTTGCACACTTTTTAAAAATAGACCTCCAGGGAGAATCTAACTTAGTAAAATGATTGTGGTATTAGTTATAATATTACATAACAGGACCACTGAAATCATCAGGCATTATGAAGTAACACTCAGTTATAATGTAGCCCTGAGGCTTGCAAGTATTCCCAATTTATCTAGGCAATAGTGATGACTTGGAAAAATTTATTTTTCATTTTGCCTATTATGTTTCCTTGGCATGGCAAAACTTGAAGTTTCTTTTTCTAAAGCCAAGTGATTTTATAATATGTGTATAAAATCACACATTTTTCCCCTGGGAAAAAGTATGTTATTTGTTTTTATTTGCATTAAAAACTGCATGCTCTCCTGTATTTTATAACCTTTGGTTTATGCAGGAATATGCTGAATTTCAGTATCGGAGGAGACACAGACAGCAGCGCCGTCGAGGAGACATGCACAGTCTGCTTAGTAATCCTCCGGACCCTGATGAGCCAAGCGAAAGCACTTTAGGTAAGCTCTTGGGTTCAGCATGGTTTAATATCTTAATTCTCCTGAATTTATTTATTTATTTATTTATTTATTTTAAAGAGAGAGAGAGAGAAATTTTTTTTTAATATTTATTTCATAGTTTTCGGCGGACACAACATCTTTGTTTGTATGTGGTGCTGAGGATTGAACCCGGGCCGCACACATGCCAGGCCAGCACACTACCGCTTGAGCCACATCCCCAGCCCCCTGAATTTATTTTTTAAAACTGGCTGATGTCAATATTTTGGGGTTTGTAGTTTAGATACACAGTAAATGTTCAGATTGTCTGGGGATACAGAAAACCAGGAAGGTTAAGAACACATAGAGTTGGACAGACCTGGGTTTATGACACTATCATTGCTGTAAACTAGTTGTATAACTACAGTCAAGTCACTGAAGCTCTCTATGCTTCAGTTTCCTTATTCTAAAGAAGCAATAATAGTACCAGTTCGTAGGCTCATTCTTAGCATTAAATTAAGATAATGCTTGTAAAGCACTTCAGCGCCTTCTGAGCACTAAGTAAATTGTAGCTGTCAGTACTGTTACTGTGTTTGTGGAATATTTTTTCTATTAGTCTTAGTTCTCCTAGAGATGTTCTTTTAGAGATAATTATTTTAATCATTCAACTTTTAAATGTTAAATTATGAGTTAAAATCTTAAAAACTATAACATCGGGATCATTGTGACTAAAAATTGGTTTTTTAGGCTATTGTAATTCCAAAATTCTTTAATTTTAAAAAATCTGAAAATGAAAATACCCTTATTTGCTATTACTTAGGAAAAATGAAAGAAGAACGGAGTGTAGCATTTGAATTTATGAAGAAAACCATAAGTACACGAGCAAAAGTTGTAAAAACAGTCATGGACTTGAAGTGATAGTATTAGATATATTGTTGCTTGTGGTGAGACAAATATGGCTGAGAAATCCCAGAAAGATTAAGAAAACATGTGAATACAGATATTCATAGCACTGAAAGAGAAATTCCCAGTTTAAATAAGAAGATGTATGGAAAAAAGGAAAAAAAAAATCTTACCTATCACTAAATTGCCTGTGGTACCAATTGCTTTGAAGCAGATATTCCAGAGGGTAGCAGTGGCCGCAGGCCTGGAGCGTCTGTGGTAAGTTCTGCATCTATGAGTGTGCTGCACAGCTCTTCCCTGCGTGACTATACCCCTGCCAGTCGCTCTGAAAACCAGGACTCTCTTCAGGTAGCCTTGCTGGGCAGCTTCAGTTGCCCTTTTGCTCATTTCATGTTTAGTGTGATTTTCTGCTTTTACTTCTACAACTTTCCTTTTTCTTACTTCCATTTTGAAATCTTTGTTTCAAAGATGTGCTGCAAAAAATACATATAATTACTGTATTTCTGATTTATCTTATATATTTTTCCCTTTGCATAGACAAGAAGATAGTTATAAAATTTGAGTAGAACCCTCATTGTTATGCAAAATTACATATAAGATGGTGTGAGGAAGAAAAAAAGAGAGAGAGAGAAAAGTGTCATAGAGTGGGTAGAGAGAGGTGATGGGAGGGGAAGGGAGGGGAGAGGGGAATAGGAAGGGAAGCAGAATACAATAGACACTAATATGGCTGTATGTATAAATGTGACTGTAAAACCAATGTGATACTGCAATCTGTACACATGGAAAAAAAAGAATTCATACCCCACTTGAATCAAATGTATGATATGTCAAGATCATTGTAATGTTTTGAGCAACTAATAAAAAGATATGGAATCAGCCTAGGTGTCTGTCAGCAGATGAAATGAGAAATAAAATATATTTTATATACACACAAAAAAATTTGAGTAGAAAAAAATAATTTGTATACATATATTAGTAATATTTGTTATCTGTTTGTTAAAGGAAAAGTGGTAAATCTGATTGAGTTGAATTATTTTTCTGTCAGAAGTTTTTAAAGTAGTTTTATTTTCTATTGTCTCAGGCTCTGAGTTCCTTGGATGAAGATGATCCCAACATACTTCTTGCAATACAGTTGTCACTGCAAGAATCTGGGCTGACCATTGACGAAGAAACTAGAGACTTCCTCAGTAACGAAGCATCCCTAGGAGCTATAGGCACTTCTTTACCTTCCAGGCTGGACTCTGTCCCCAGGAATACAGATAGCCCTCGTGCTGCATTGAGCAGCTCTGAGCTGTTGGAACTTGGTGACAGCCTCATGAGACTAGGAGCAGCGAGTGACCCATTTTCAACTGACACCTTGGGTTCACACCCCCTCAGTGAGGCAAGAAGTGATTTCTGTCCTTCATCCAGTGACCCTGACTCAGCTGGCCAGGATCCCAATGTCAGTGACAATCTTCTTGGTAATATTATGGCTTGGTTTCATGACATGAACCCTCAGAGCATTGCTCTGATTCCTCCAGCCACTACAGAAATCAGTGCAGATTCTCAGCTCCCCTGTGTCAAAGATGGGTCAGAAGGTGTGAGGGATGTGGAACTAATGCCACCAGAAGATTCAGTGTTTGAAGATGCTGGTGTCAACGAAGATAGAGGAACTCAGATAGAAGAAAATCCTTTGGAAGAAAATATTCTGGCTGGGGAATCATCATCTCAAGGTGATGGGAGTAGTCATGAGGCAGCCAACAAAGGTGATGGTTCAGATGTTTCAAGTCAGACACCCCAAACCTCAAGTGAATGGCTTGAACAAGTACATTTAGTATGAAATGTACATATCTGGGCTCCAAATGAATTGCAAGTACAGATGGTATGTTAGGTGGAGAAAGCTTTATAGAGACTTTGATCCACTTAATTCCAGCTCAGTTATAAACCACTGATGTTAGGATGGAATACAAAGGAGTTCCCTTGAATGGTAGCTTCATTTTCAATTTTAACCTTACAGGGAATTTCTTTTGTATTTAACTGGATAGCTGATCCCCATTTTGCTGAGAAAAAGAATGGCAGGAGAGCAAGAGAAACAAAATGGAATAATTAGGTTGTATTCTACATGCTAAGAAAATGCAGGGCTCTGTTTACCCTGGAGTTGGCAATACTTGACTTGAACATGGAAATCAAAGGCTTACTTCTTAATCTTTGGGTGGCTTTCCTTTAAAAAGGAAGTTTTCTTCATTTTAGAAGTTCATTTTGGACAGATCTGATAACATGTATGTCCTCAATCTTTTTGTGCTCTTTCATAACTTCCTTCTTCCCTTTTTGTCTGAGCAATGTGAATTGAAGTATCCACAGCTTCTTTAGTGCTGCATCTACCACAGTGTAATTAGTTTTAATTTTCATATGAATCAAAGATTTCTCCTCCTGTCTATTTACAGTCCAATTGTGCCAAACTCTGACTCGTGCGCTGACTGACAACGCATTGAGGTGTGCAGCATCCTAGTGTACTCCAGGACAGTGTCAGCGTTCTTGGGAGTAAAAGGTGCCACTTGGTAGCAGTGATATTCCAGAATTTCATGGGCTTTTGTTGCCATGGAGACTGTATTTTAAATAAATGTAGCCTGTAGCTTAAGTTAACTAAACCTAATGCTGCTGTTAAAAACAGTTTATTTTAATATTAAAATACAGTTGATTAGCAACAGCGGTGCTGTATTTTAAGAGACACTTTATTGGAAGTGCAATCATAGTTCTTTGTTTTCACAATTTTACAGTGCATTCTAATTACTAATGGGTGCAATTACTTTTAATGGTGTTTTATAAAATAGAAAAAAGTGGAGTTTTCATGAGTTATAGTAAATCCCACAATTATTAAAAAATTCAATAAAACATCCTGCGCAACATGTTACCGTGCCTTTGCCTAACCTAAATGGATAGTTGCCAGTTAATAAGTCAGTAATTCAAATTTCAATGTCTCTTCTGAAGTAACTATGCTATGAATTGCAAAGACCTCCATGAAACCACCCATGGCCTTGCCTTTACAGTAAATATAACAACTAAGTGTTCAGTTTGTTTGCCTAAATAGCAAATGCTGACATGTGTTTGTTCTCTTGCACAATACTCATTTGCTGTGTGATTACTGTTTAGTATTGAAAAAAATCAACTTCCTAGTTATCAGTGTCTTACTGTGAAGAAATTACTGGTCTTAGTTGTAATTAAGATACAATGGTACAGTGTGTAATTAAAACTAGAGTAAACTGTTGGAATGGTTGTCTTACTTACATATTATCAAAACTAGCATAACATAAGCAAAATAGATTCTTGCAACACTCCATTTAATGTTTTGCTAGATTGTTACCAGAAATCTACAGAAACCAAAATTTCTGTACTGAGTTTGTACAGGCAAGTCTTAGGCCAGGTAAAAGGTTGTATTAGTATTGGTATTCATGTGAGTTGTGATTACGGTTTTTGATTGCTTGTTTTTTCCAATCCCTTACTTTTGAACTTTTCTTGTACTTTAAATTCATATGGCCAGGACATTAAAATATAAAATATTTAAAGTTCCCCAGGTTCCTCTATAAATGAGAATTGCTCTTATGCTATGGATAACTAAGGTCCACATTAGTTTTTATTTCTCCAGTTACAGAAAAATTAATATCAATCCCTATTGAAATTAGTGGGGGAAAATATTAACTTAATCTACAGTGTATTACTGTATATTAAACTGAAATAGTCCATTAAAGGATTTTTTTACAAATTTATTTTGGATTAAAAATATTAACATTAAGTTTATAGACCAAGTTGTAATTTTTCCAGTAGAGTTCGCATCACATTGAGGCATCTTGCACAACTGCAGTGAGGTGAGGAGTTCTCTGTGTGAAGGTAGTGTTTGTGGTGGGTTCTGGTTTCCTTGCACCTTGTGCAGTATCCTTTGTTTCTGTGCTGGTCTCTCCTGAGCATGAAAAATGATCGTTATCCAGTTTGTATTTCCTTGGTACATATTTTAAAAACAACACAGTCATTGACTTTACAATTCAGTAATAAAGTTTGGCAAAGCCTATTTTGTAAACAAGTTAATTTTATAATGTAAAAGAAATTAACCTAATCTTGACTTGTTATTTGCACTTTCATAGTCTATACTTGATACATTCCCACTTTATATACAGTAGGATTCTACAAACGTGTAGATGTTTGGCCAAATGAATGCTGTTAATAATATGTAAAATTCTTTGATTAAACATTTATTACTTAAACTACTTCCATTTTGTCTCATTACATTATAAACTTTGTTTTAAGCAGGTCAGGGAGCTTAATTTTCTTGAAATTAAATTCCCTCCAATATAGTGTGATTAATTTGGTTCTAACATGTAATTGATTAGTGCCTAATATTTTTACACTAGCCCACTTACTGAGCATTTTGTATCTCAGAGATAAACCCAGTAACACTGTATAAAGATGTGTTAAAACATGACTTAAATGCTCATTTTATTTTCATTGCTATACCTTTAAGAGAAAAAAATTATGCTTTTTCTGTAAAATCTCAATAAAATCTCTAATAGAAACACTGAGAAATATAGAATGTAAGCCATGTTTTAAATTGCTAGAAAAGGAAAAAACTTAGCCTTATGAATAAAAATGCCTGCTTCTCCACCAAAATTTTACAAAAGTATTTTATCCCTTCTGAATTACCAAAACAACCTTGTGGCATATGACCTTCAGTACCTACATGTAAGTTCTAGGCCACCAGCTAGTGTTTCATGGGGTCTGCCATTGGTTATCACTTAACAGTCATGTTTTATTTATGACTTTCAATATGTAGATCTGAAACTTAGCTACCAATGTCCATATGCTTAATTATCCCTTAAATGTTAATTGTAGTCACTGATCTCATTTTCATTCTCTTTTTAATCCTAAATATTTTGTCACTTACCCTGTTATGAATTAAAATCTGAGACTTGTTGAGGTTTGGTTGTAATGTTAAAATTACAGTTAGTATATCTCTAAAGAGTAAAATCTTGGAACCTAAATATTAAATCATAATATAAATTTGGGGATTTTTAAAAATCTAAAATGATTTCATAGGAAAAATATTTCCATGGGCTCAGCCACCGAGTGGTAGTTTCATCTCAGCATTGTGCCAAGGGGGTAATTACTGGATCTCCTTAGCAACACTATACTGTTGTCTCTTCAGTTCTTATGACTTTCTCATCAGAATAGATTTCTTTCTAGAAAGAAGCGGCTTTCTTCTAGACTATTTTATGATAGTCCTTATTTTAGGAACTGGCAGTGGTACTAGTTATTAAAGAAAGGTGGACCAGAAAAGTTTCCTGTACTTCTCAGTTTCACATTCAATGACATTAAGCTGGAAAACTAACCAAGCTTTTGAAGGAATTGTTCTTTGGTCTTTGAAACTGTAATTGGACAGTATTCTTGATCAGGCTGTCTGTCATCTGTCATCTCTTAGCCTCTTGTATAACTATATATCCTGCTCTGCGTGCCAAGACTGCAAGGCTTAGACAACAATTTTGCTTGGGCCATCTCTCAGGATTTATGTAAATAGTAACCCTGAGGAAAAGGAGCAGGCTGAATTGCTTGCTATAAAAGTGGTGAACTCTTCATGCTGCTTGGCTGCAGCATGAATCCGCTCAGTCCCTGTAGACATCCAGGCCCATTTGTGTTGCCCCTGTGAATATGGAGACATGGGTAACTGATAAATGTGATGTATAATCTGCATGCTGTGCCACAAGTGATAAAAAGTCCTTTGCCTCTGACCCAGGAGTCTTGTGTCTTTTGTCAACATATATGAGACAGTGACAGGCAAACTTACTGACTTATAAGTAGGGTCAAATGAAGGTCTATACCCTGGAATTTGGGCAACAAGGATGGAATGCTGGCAGAGACAAGGTTTTCTGGAAAACAAATCATGGGCCACGGAGAAGTAACCATGACACTGTAAGACTCCCAGAACCCTGGTAGTGAAGGCTCTCACCCAAGTGATAAGGATGGGGGAGACTAAAGGTTCCCACTGTCCTACCTGTTGACGAACAAATGTTGAACTAATGTTTCGTGGTAGTGACCAGAGGTATTATTGAAACAAGTTATCTAAATGTTACCTTGATTGTGACTGTAGTAGGCAGAGAATGGTATGTTATGTTTTCATGACAAGTTTTCAGCAATTGTCTCTCTAGCTGAAAGGTAATATGGCTATGGCTGCTGAGTCAAGGAGTCTCCAAACATAAAATGGTCTCCACAATAAAACATTGGTATTTGAGAGCTGTGAGTGGGCTGAAAAGATTAGAAAATCATTGGGTTGAGCCACAAGCTGCACTGTTCAAATGCAAAGCCAGATGTGCAGAACAGGCTATAGGCACAGTAACCCTGGCCTCTGCCACCACTTACTTAGCCAACAAGGAGGACAAGGCTCTGGGCACAGAAGCTTGTCCCTTGCTGTCAAGGGAAAGTAGTCGTCAGTGTTCAAGCACTGACCATGGAGCTAAAGAAGAAAAAGGGTGATACTTGCATCCTCTTCTGCCAACCGTGGCTCCCCACCCATTGCCATCTGTCATTCCGCCACGTGTAGTCACACACATCTTCAGCTTCTTGCTCTGTTGCTGTAGTGGAAATGGATTTGAGATGTGCTTCACAATGGGGAAGGGAAGTTAAAAGGGCCTGGTGAGTGAGATCCTCTGGGAGATTCAATCTAATAATGTAGCTTCCAAATCTGAATGAATAAAGGAATTGGCCTGTTCTATACCTGCACTTAACCTGTTTCAAATAATTGTTAGTGGAATTCCCCTTTCAGAGGCTTCCACATGAAGAGATATGGTAGTGGGAATGTAAACTGCTCCTCCACCTGTCTTCTTATCCCCTTCCTGCTGGTCCAGCAGAAACAATATAGAAATCAGGAGAAAAGGAAATTGTTGCTTTAGTTGAAGATCTGGGCAGAGGGGAACATCTGCAATCCCAGCAACCCTGGAGGCTGAGGCAATTTCAAGGCCAGCCCCAACAATTTAGACAAAGACCCTGTCTCAAAATAAAAAGGACTGGTTATATAGCCCAGGGGTAAAGCACCCCTGTGTTCAATCCCCAGTATCTTTCCCCCCTCATAAAAGACCCAAGGGAAGAGAGGAGGAGAGGAAAGATGGTATATACTAGAGAATAAAACCCCCATTGCTTTATATACATATATGAATATTTCACAAGGAATCCCAATATTATGAGTAATTATAATGAAGTTTTTAAAATAAGAACAATAGTTGGGTCAGAGCTCAGCCATTTTTCCAGCACAATATCGCCACCTGCCTGACATTTTCAAAAGTGCAGCTATTAACCTACTACTAAGCTCTTGAAACTTGAATGCCTGGCCCATGGAAACTGACTTGCTGGCCTGACATCTTGACTTTGGGGTAGATCAGCTCTAATTGGAGGATTAAAAGAGATGGAAGGAGTCCAACAGGCCAGCCAAATAGGAAGGGTATATTTGAGAGTACAGGTAGCATGGCCCTACCTATAGTGTCTCCATTTTACCTTAAAAAGTATAGATAATCTCTTTGGATGAAATTGTGTTGAATATCCACTGCCTGAAGCAAAGCCAGTAGCTTAGTGGGGAGCCCAGTTCACAAAATAACTAAGCTTAGTTCAATTGCTTGTCAGCAGTTTCTGCCAAGTCCCAGCAAGAATCTTTTTATTTTTTATTAACTATATTCTGAAGTTTATATGGAATGATCAAAAGTACAGTAGTCAAGACAATATAATACTGGTGAAAGAATAAATACAGATCAATTGAATGAGATATGGAACCAGAAATAGCCCTACACAAAAATTTTCAATTGATTATGATTAAGTTTCAAAAGGAGAAAATATAGGCTTTTCAACAAATGATTCTGGAACTATTAGTATAAGGTAGGCAAAAATGTGAACTTTTGCCTAATCTCACACTTTATACAGAACTTGAAATGGATTATAGATTTAAATGTTATATAAAATTAATATGGATTATAGATTCATAGGCAAGCAAAAGTCTCTTTGTAAGAGTCTAGGGTAGCAGAAATGTTTAGACTTGATACCAAAAACATAATCCACTTAAAATTTATTAAATTGAACTTCATCAAAATGTAAAACTTCTTGTTCTGTGAGAGACCCAATGAAGAAAATGAAAGACAAGCTAGAGCCTGGGAGAAAATACTTTCAAACTGCATGTCTGACAATTCGTTCAAGATATAAAAAGAACTTTCAAAACTAAACAGTAAAAAGACAAATAAGCCAATAAGATGAACAAAGAACATGAAGAGACTTCACCAAAGAAGGAAAATGGTCAATACCTAAAGAGATGTTCAATATCATCTGGAAAACGCAAATTAAAATCACAATAAGACACCACACACCTATCAGAATGACCAAAATATTAGTGTCAGTATCTAGTGCGGGCAAGGATACAGAGAAACTGGACTGTTCATACATTGCTGGTGGGAAAATAAGATGGTGCAGCCACCATGGAAAATAAGTATATACTTACCATATGATCCAACACTTGCATTTATGGGCATTTATCACAGGAAAATGAAAAACATTATGTTCTGTATATGATTGTTCATAGTTGCTTTATTTATAATAGGCCAAGACTGGAATCCACCCAAATGTAGTGGATGAATGGTTAACTGGTAATCCAGGCAATGAAAACTACTGATATCACTTGGGTGGATCTCAGGGACATAATGCTGAGTGGGGAAAAAAAGCCAATCTCAAAACTGTCACATTCTGTATTATTCCATTTAGATTATATTTTCAAAATAGAACAATAGAGATGGAAACAAATTAGTGATGGGCAAGAATAGGGGTTGGATGAGGGGGACAATTAGGGACTTGTATGTACCATAAGGGGAATAGCTCAGTATATTAGTGCTAGCTGCATGAATTTACACTTGTTAAAAATCTCATGTAAGAACACATACAAAAAATGTCAATTTCCTGTTTTGATACTATGGGTTATGAAGAGATAATTATTGGAGGAAACTTGGTGAAGGGTACACAGGGTCTCTATATTAGCAACTTCCTGTGAGTCTATAAATTATTTCAAAATTTAAAAATTAAAAGATGGCCTGCTTTAGGGCAAAAAAGCAAATATTATCTTAGTACCTAATCAGCATCAATGCTACTATAACTTGGGAACCATTGAAGATATCTTTAACAGTTGATTCATGTGTTTTAACTTTAAGCATGATGTTAAGCATTCACTTTCCATAATAATGTCAAATGAATGCCACTGTGTTTTGGTTATTGGCATTTGAACCTATGAGTTCTAAGTGGTTTTACAAAGAACTTGACAGCTGGGTGAGGTGGCACACACTTGTAATTCCAGTGGCTCAGGAAGCTGAGGCAGGAGGATCACAAGTTCAAAGCCAGCCTCAGCAAAAGCAAGGTGCTAAGCAACTCAGTGAGACCCTGAATCTAAATAAAATACAAAACAGGGCTGGGGATGTGGCTCAGTAGTTGAGTGCCCCTGAGTTCAATCCCTGGTACTTCCCCCGCCCCCCGCGCCCCCTTCTCAAAAAAAGAACTTGACTATGCACTGCCTTTACTATCAGCGGTTTTACCACCATCCTTTTGTGTATGGAGAGATGTGCTCATCAAACTAGGCCTAGAACTAGATGAGAATTTGGGTTAATATAGAGAACAAAAGGTAAAAGTAAATTATAGGTTTAAAAAAAGTAGATTTGAATGCCTACATTTGTGGGTGTTATAGAATATATAACTTAAACACTTGTATGAATTCTCCACTGGCCAGTAGTCTTCCATTATGCTTCTATGGACATCTTGAGTTGATTTACAGATCTGCTATACGTCACTGGATTTTGGGCCACTTCTAATATGTTCAAATTGTGGACTGTACTCTCAAAAGATGAATTAGTATTATTGAAAGCAAGTCAATTTACCCACTCATTTAATAGACTGACCCTAACAGCTGTATGTTGCTTAGAGCCTGTACTAAATGCACAAATCAAAAGACTGTCTCAGTAGTAGAGCACTTGCCTCTCATGCATGGAACACTGGGTTCAATCCTCAGCAACACATAAACAAATAAAACAAAGGTATTGTGTTCATCTACAACTAAAAAAAAAAAAAAAAAATTTTTTTTTTAGAGTCACAGAGCCAGGTACGGTAGCGCAGGCCCCTGATCCCAGCAACTCAGGAGGCTGAGGGAGGAGGATCACAAGTTCAAAGCCAGGCTCAGCAACTGGGAGGCACTAAGCAACTCACTGAGACCCTTTCTCAAAATAAAATACAAAATAGGGCTGAGGATGTGGCTCTATATTTATGAGTGGCCCTTGAGTTCAAACCTCGGTAAAAAAAAAGAAAGACTGTCACAGAAGCATTAGGCTTTTAACCACTGAGCTGCATCCCCAGCCCTATTTTGTATTTTATTTAGAGAAGGGTCTCACTGAGTTGCTTAGCGCCTCACCCTTGCTGAGACTGCCTTTGAGCTCGCCATCCTCCTGTCTCAGCCTCCAAAGCGGCTAGGTTTACATGCATGCACCACTGCACCTGGCTTAGGGCTTCTTTTTAATCAAGTCCCCATTTCTACTGGCACATACAGTAGGCTCCCACGTTGGGCTGCGCGTGGTTGGGAACATTGCTGAGATAGCGGAAATGCCCGGTGCTGTGCTAGGACAGCAGAAGCTCAAGAAAGCAAGTAGCCTATTATATGCTTGAAGGTTTTCTTGATACCCAAGAGGATATGCAAAACATCAAGCTTCCCAATTGCATTTACTTTCTTGTATGAAATTAATTCACTGTGACTTCAATACCAAAGGCTTTGGCAGATGCATACACAGTAATGTTTGTTTAAATATCCAGACCCACGACCTTTGGAGGATGCTACAGAATTTTTTTCTGAGTGGCTTTAAAGTCTCTTTTCTACTTGTTCACATTTCAGAATTGAATCCCAAATTCCAAAGCTTTCTGATGATAGTAATAACAGATTGCAAAACACAATAGGAAACTCTACTAGAGTCCCTTCTGAGAGTCACTATAACCAGAAAATAGTAAGACAGGGTGAATTTGAAACAAGAAAAAGGTAAGTGTCTGGGACTGTGAATAATGCTTGCACCCACTCAAATGTCTTCCTTGAGGTCTTTAGATTCAGTTAAATCACAGCCTTATTTCAGTACTTGTGATAGAGGAGAAGAGTAATCACAGAGCTCTCTGGCTGACTTTCACGTGCACAGCCCACGGCAGCCGGATCAAACCTCTAGTGCAAAGCCCTGCCCTCAGCCTCTCCAAGTCCATCCCGTCCTCCTATCCCTACTCACGTTGATTTTTCCCAATTTCTAGCACCTTCATTTTTCTTCTGCCCTCAAACATTTTCTCCCTGTCCTGAAAAAAATCCCTCCTGAAAAATCAAGTAACAAAAGCACAACCTTCACCTGCCCCTGCTATTTCTCCTCAAGTGAACCTGGCAGACATTTCTCAGGGCTTTGACCTTTTGTTTCACATCAGCCATTCCTGCCCTGGAATCTGTGCTCTTTCCAGTCTGGTCGTGGGCAAATCCACTGGCCTTATTCTTAGTTTTATTGTGCTTGACCTTTAAAAAAAAAAAATTACTCAATATCTTTATGTTTTTGTGGTGCAAGGGATCGAACCCAGGGCCTCATGCATGCTAGGCGAGCCACACCCTAGTCCTGAGCTTGAACTTTTGATGATAGAAAGCCTCTAAATTAATGGTAGCTGTAAATTAATGATAGCTGTGCTGTTCCAACACCTTCCTTGGATCCCTGGTTGGCCTTCAAAATGCTATGCCCTCACTGTTCTTATGTTTTACTGACCAGCACCCTTCTTCCTTCCATCTCTGAATTTTGGCATTCTCACATTGGTTTTTTGGGCTCTCCTTCCTTCTCATTCCTGGCAGTTGCATCTGATCTCACAACCTCAGTTCTTACCAGACTCTGATGGCCTCCTATTTTGAATCTCTAGTCCTGAGCTCCTGCTCCCCAAACAGCCAAGTTAACCTTCCCTCTGTTTCTACATATTGAAGTTATTTTTCACCTTGCCTCATAACACCCCAAGCCATTTCCTACTTTCTTAAGATGGCCTTATTTTAGTGACAATTACCCACAGTAAAAACTAGGACACTCCTCATGTCCCCTGCACTGCAGATCCACCCTATCGGACATGAACTTGTCCGTTTTCTGGATCATACATCGTTGGCTCATTCTACCCTGAGTTCTGTTGTTAGTGCCTTCAGCCTAGGTTATTGTAGTAGCCCTTGCTCCACCCCCTTCCTCTCCAATAGCTCCTTCTCTACCTTCACCCACCCAACATGACCAAGCTCATTCCCCTAAAGCAGTGTCTTCACCAGGACACGACAATCAAAACCTGATGTAACACTATAAAGCCTGAAATCCTCCAGCCTTTGAGGATTACTTGAGGTCCTTCTGACTCCACCATCCTCTACATAAATCTTTTTCTGTAGCTCCTCCCCCAGACCTCCTGAAGTCCACCAGGAGCCCACCTGCTCACTGCCTTTGTTCATGCCACAGCCTTGTGCTCTTCCTGCTCGGGGAGCAACAAAGCCTGGCTGGCCCGGGGCTTGCAAGTTGTGAGAATCCAGGAGGGACGTCAAGATCTGTATGGCCTATGACCTTCTGGAACATAAACTGGTTGTGTAAGATATCTATAAATAAAAAGGTTATGGACTTCTTTTTTAATGGACCTAGAGCTTGAGTTTTGCAAAAGAAAAAGACTTTGGGAGATTAGTTGCATGATAATTTAAATAAACTTGATGCTATTAAACTGTATACTTAAAATGGATAAGGAAGTAAGTTTTATTTATATTTTGTCACAATTAAACACACAAATTAAGTTTAAAACATAGGACTTCATAGGAAGCTAGTTGTCCCACGCAATCAGAGGAATGGTCAAGCCCAGAACTACAGGCACGATGGTGACAAGAGCAGCTATGCTGACCTGGGCCTTTTGTGGACAGTAACTTGATTGAAGTTGATCCTCTTTCAATCCCACTTGTAGATGTTATTCTCTCCCATCTGACTGGAGTCCAGGATAAAGGCAGAGTTCTTTTGTTTGTGTGTTTATTTTTTGGTACTGGGGATTGCATTCATGGGTGCTTTACCATGAGCCACATCCCCAATCCTTTTTTAAGTTGCTTAGAGCCTCACTAAATTGCTGAGGTTGGCCTCAAACTTGCAGTCCTCCTACGTCTGCCTCCTGAGTCTCTAGGATTACAAGCCTGTGTCACTGCACCCAGCTTTTTGGTTCATCTTACTGTAAAATAAGAAGATGCATTGATGGGCATAGTGACACACGCCTGTAATCCCAGCAACATGAGAAGCTGAGGCAGGAACATGGCAAGTTTGAGGCCAGCCTCAGCAACTTAGCAAGACCCTGTCTCTAAAAATAATGAGCAGGTTGTGGGAGGTGGGGGGGGGGAATGGAGGGTTCTAGGGGTATAGCTCAGTGGCGGAACATCCCTGGGTTTAATCCTCAGTACTGCAAAATAATATACCAACATAGTCCCTCAGAATGCTCACATAAAGAGTAAAGAAAGAAGCAACTTTAAATTTCTGTAATCCATTTTATTCATGTAGAGAGATGTGTACAGAAATGGTGCCTGGAAAACTTGAACAAAATAATGGGCATCTTACAAATATTTGTAAGTATGATACTCATTTCTTTGAATTTATAAAAATCTGAAATGTCCTCCAAAAGTTTTGCTATGTGACAGTGGAACTAAAAGTAAGAAGAACAGCAACAGCTACCTTCAAATGCTTAACTTTAATAAAAATGTTCTTAAATATTGTTTTTTTTTTAAAATAAAAGGGCTTAGGAAGTGGTAACCTTTGCGTATCTGAGCCTGGCAACATGTCACAAGTGTCCCTCCTTCCTGCTTCTCAGCACAAGCTAGCCTTGGCTGGACCACTACCGTCCCAGTCCAATCAGTTGCAAAATAAAAAGGAAGAGGTTGATGATGTCCAAGTAGATGTTCAGGGCAGCAAAAACGTATTCTTCCGGGTCCAGGTCAGAGTGGTGATGACGCCCTCCCACCATGAGCTGCACATCCATCACCAGGTACTTAAAGGAAAGGAAGAAGAGTTAGCTACTTCAATCGTACCTGTCTATCAAACCAAGTGTCCTAAATGCTCTGGGAAAAAAAGCTGTTTTAGCTATAGCACAAAAATACTCTAGAAAGTCAGTTTGGGGCTGAATATATTACTCTTTCGGCGTCATTCATGAAGTCCCCAAGTTTAAACTCCTATAAAACCAAGTGCCTTATCTTCCTGAAGCCTGTGGGACCAGATCTGAGCCAAATCCAAAATCTTTGTACCTTTGGTTAATTATGTGGACCCAGTGGACAAAGTAGACACAGAGATTAAACTACCAAATGCCCTCTATTTGTGATTTCCTTCCATGTCCTTGCTAAACAAATAATCTAAGAGCTTTCCAAACACTTGATTCACACAGTAAAAATAAATCTGAATTTATGGAGCTTTGGGTAACAGCAAACCTTGCCACTGGGGATGGTTTAGTAATTAATGGTGCTTCATATCCAAAATAGAAAGAGGAAGAGAGGGGACTCCCATGTGACTAAGTCAGTCCCTAAAGAAAGGTTTTCGTTCAGCTGCAGTAGGTAAAATCATCAGGTCTTAAAAATGTCAAGATTTTTTTTTTTTTTAAAGTCAGCGTGCCTCTCTCATTTTTGTGTTTGCTGCAAAGTGAGCAGTTACTTATATCCAGAATCTAGGCCAAATCTCCAACACTGAAAATAGAGAGAATCCTTGGAGTTTTGTTTTGTTTTTTTTTTTTTAAGGGCTGGGGATGTGGCTCAGAGGTAGAGCGCTTGCCTAACATGCGTGGGGCACTGAGTTCCATCCTCAGCACCACATAAAAATAAAATAAAGATATTGTGTCCACCTTTAACTATAAAATAAATTTTTAAAAAAAAAGATTTTTTAAAAGATAGATTTGAGAGCAATATTCACTTCAATGAAACCTTTCCCAAGGAGTCCAGGAGGAAGAGGTGGGAGAGGGGAAATGGAGGGGAGGAACAGGCCTCTTCCTGGGCAGCCTCACAACAGGCTTATGGCAGGTGCTATCTCACGTAGTGCGGGAACAACCCAGTGGTGGTGGGCCAGATTTCACTGAGTCTTGGTTATATTAGTGCGTCTCTGAGGGAGGTGCCAGAGCAGGTGTCTCACCTGAACTGCTCAGTCCCTCAACCCTTTATCCCTAGGTCTCATCTGAGCACCTTTGGAAGGAAAAACAGCTAGAGTGGCCCACCCTTCCAATTCTCCCAGGATTTTTAGGTGGCCTTGGAAACACTTGAGTCCTAGACAAACTGGGACGTTTCGTCACTCAAAAGGAGCTGAGCATCCATCTCTCATCCTGGAGCCCTAACTCCTTTGCAGAAGTGCTTTTCTCTCTTTCTTGCATCCAAAAAACCCTGAATTTATCTTGATCTTCTTACAGGAGGGGATTATGGAGTCTTAATGATTCTGCAGGCATGAACTGGTTGGTTAGGGGTGTGGATTCTCAAGAGAGGTCATGTGTTCGAGGGCAGGCAGGAAAGTGGGGGAGGAAGATGAGCAGAGATCCAGCTGCTCGTCCCCCTCCAAGGAGACCAGGGCCCAAAATCCCACTGAAGACACAGCCAACACACAGGGAAGCCCCAGCCAGGATTCAGACCCCCACCCCCAGGAGCATTTGGAAGTGCGGTACCCTGCCTCACTCCCTATCACAACTCTGATGGCTAAAACACACACACTCAGTCTTCTCCTCCAGCTGTCTGTCTGGTGTTCAGTGACCACCCTAAGCCAACAAGAGGTTTTGCTCTGCCTGCAGGTAGGAAACAGAACATCGTGTATATTTTACACGGAAACAAACTGCCTAAATGGGCCATAAGAGACACCACAGCCAGCACCAACACACAAAGGCTGAGCACATGGGAGCACAGGAGGTTGGGCACAGATCAGTTCCTATTACAAGAAAAGAAATGAGAAAACTGCAGTGTGTGTACTGAACTTTAATCCCTGGGTGTAAACTTTTCCAACATTTAAAAGATACGACACAATTCCAACAATAACAGCAAAAAGACAAATGATAAAGCAAAACATGGATGGTTTTAAAACTTGTTGATAATATACCGGATTCATTTTACCATTCCCTCTACTTCTGATTCTATCTTGAAATTTCCAAAATAGAAAAAACCTAATGAGTGAGATGTAGCTCAATTGTTGAGTGCTTGCTCCATATGCGTGAGGCCCTGGATATCAGCCCCAGCATTGCAAAAAAATAAAATAATAAGACAAAATCCCCAAAAGAAGTGACATGATAAAAGTAAGTGATGGAAAAACCTGGCAGCTCTGAAAAAGAGTGAGCTTGACGTAGGTCTGCCAGTATATGGAGATCATCACGTCTAAGTGAAAAGGCCAAAGCAGAACATTATATATAGTGTGTCCATAGTACTGCAAGAGGAAATGGTGCTCATGTGGCAAAAAAAAAAAAAAATTCTAAAAGGATTCCCAGAAATTACTTACAGTGGTTATCTCTGAGGACCAGGGAATCAGAGAGAGATTTTATCATAGTTTTGTAGTCTTCTATGTTGTTTGCATTTTAAAACAAATGCATGTAATACCTTTTAAATCAAATATTCCTTGAAGTAATTGTGAAGATATGAAGCAAGAAACAGGTCAAAATGGAAGGAAAATTTTCTAGATGCATTGACAGTGATCCTGGCCAGTCCCCATGAGTAGTCCATGTTATGCAAGAGTAGAAAAGAGACTGATCTAAGAGAGAAAATGAAATCACACCCTGCTACCATAAGTACCGAGGCTTATAAATAACCCTTTGTTCTCTTCTTAAATATTGACTCTTTGAGGAAAAGCAATGTTCTTGTGGACTTGGAAGGACCATCTAACTCTCCTGGGGGGTGATGGTTTTAAATCTGACCTTATAAGAGGCAGCAAGTTGCCCAAGGGTTTCTAGTGAATTACTGACTCCACGTAACTAGCACAGACAGCACGTTCTTCATCAAGGAGAGGAAGAGACGGACTTACCATGGAGAAGAGCACGGTTCCGAGTCCAGCATACAGCACGTGCAGCCACTGCAGAGAGAAAGAAAACAGTTGTAGCTTAAGAACAAGACTTTGGAATAACCAAAGGATTTGCTTAGGTCACCGCTGATGGGTAAGGACCCAATATCAACAAGAAAGTCGAGCAGAGTCAACAGCATCCACTCAATTCCAACAAATAAGCAAAAGAAAACCAACCTCACACATGCCAAATAATTTTCCATGAGTAAATGCTGAATATCCCATGCATGGCAGGGCAAGGAGAATGTGTTGGACATGTTCTGCTTTTGCCTCATCCACACATCTACATCTGTGAGGTTCTAGAGAATCCGCCCTCCCTAGCTAAAGGCTGTGATGAGAGGTGGAAGACACCCACAGTGACTCTGCCAAGTGATCAAGAAATTCTGCTCTGTAACTGGGCTTAGCAGATGTGCCAGGCCAGTCAGAAATCAATTCCCCGTCTAGAGGGATCCAAGCAGCACAGGCCATTGTCATCAGCCAGGGCTGGAGATCCACTGCACAAATAGAGATGGCCGGTTCATGCCAGCCCCAGAGAGGAAGGCAGGGTTTGTGTTCCTGTGGACCCAGCTCTTCTTCCCACCTAGGAGTTCCATGAGATTCTCCAGGCCATTGCCTTAAGCTAGTCTGAATGGGTTATGTTCCTCGCAGCCAAGACACTCCTGACCAGAATATGGAACTAGTCTAAACACCCAAGGTTTGACTCCTGGGAAGAGGACAAGGCAGAGGTGTACAGCCCCTGAGAACAATATGCCAAACCCTGCAGCCGGAGAGAGCTGGGCCTGGGAGGGGTGGGCAAGTGCACCCTGCTGGCCCGCAAGGTTCATGGTGCAGAAGGGAGACTGGGAACAGGTGACACCATCTGGAGGCCACAAGAGTTCCAGACTGTACTTTTCAGGAATGTTCTAAGAGTTCAATGTGCCTAGGTCTGACACCTAGCAAGATCTCAATGAATATATTAAAGGAAAAAAATCTGAACTGGGACAAGGAGCCTCCTCTAGGCTGCTACTGGCACATGTCAGAGGGAACTCTCTCTTCCATACTCCTTCCTTCAAACAGGCTGCACCTGTACACAGGAGAAGACAGCTCCTGCCAGTAGCTTTACCTCAAGACCCTCTTGGGGAAGGCCAACAACAGTATAGAGTAGGCTCAGTATTTGCAGACTCCATCCCCTGCCCTCAGTACCACCCAGTGATGTCAGTGTGGCTGTCAATAGGACAGACCTCAGGGACCTTCAGCTCCCAGGAGGGGAGCACAGTGACCTTGAGGCTGCTGGGCCCTGCAACTCACATCAATTTGTCTTAGGCACTGGCCCATCATTGGCTGGGAACAGCAGGGCCCTTCCTGGGAGGTAGGGGATGAAGGCCTTGTGTCCCTCAGACCACACCACATCTAGAATGTTCTGCCCAAACTCCCTTTGCCCTCCTGCCCAAGGGACCAGATATGCTGGCTGGTCCAACAGCTCTCCCAACCTGCATCAGTGCCCTCCTTCCCTTTTTCTCGCTTGGACATTTCTCATCTGAAAATCCTGGCATGCTCCCAACTCCACATCTGCTCTCAGAGGACCCAGACTGACACAGTCAGCCCTACCTACATCCATCCTTTTTTTCTTTTTAATTTCTTTTTTTTCTTTTAGTTGTCAATGGACCTTTATTTTATTCATTTATTTATATGCAGTGCTGAGAATTGAACCCATCGCCTCACACGGGTGAGGCTACACGCCCAGCCCTCCACCCGTCACAACAGCTCTCTGAGGTTTCCAAACGGGAGCCCACTTACATATGATCGAATGAAGATTAAGAGAATTCCATAGATTACAAGTACGAAGAGAAAAACGAACAGCATTCCGTTTAGCAAGGTAAAATCCCACTGGGGAAACAAACAACAGCTCAGTTATCGTCTGCAAGGGATTTCTGGGGGTTCAGAGTTCATTTTTAACCCCATAGACAATTTGCCCTGACCAATTCAGGAAACCATGGAAACCCATTAGTGCCTACCACTGAAAAATGCTACATAAAAAGTGTCATATTGACTGGGATTTGCTTCTGGAGGGAGAAAAAGGAAGGAGCATGAATGAAATGATAGAAGTCAAGAGTTGGTGATCCCTAAAACTGTAGGTGATAAGTAACATGGGGTTCACTATGCCATTCTATTTTTATATTTATATGAAATTTCCCCTAGTAAAAAGGGTTTACTGGAAAAATGATGTGAATTTATGTGGATAGTAGTATCATGACTATTCACATTTTTAAGAACATATGCATAGAAAACATTATGGAATGAAATATACCAAGATATCAACTGGGAATCTTTTTCATGTTTAAATGCATATATTTTTAAGTCTTCAAAAATTGCTGTTTTTTTAATTTTGAAATTGATTAATGCGACTTTTCTTATTTTTGTCTTTTTAAACTAGCTTAGGCTGATTAGAGTTTTTTTTAAATTTTTTTTTTTTGTAGTTGTAGATGGACAGAATGCCTTTATTTTATGTATCTATAGTGCTAAGGATCACACCCAGTGCCTCACACATGCTAGGCAAGCATATTGTCACTGAGCTACAGCCCAAGCCCCCTTTCTTTTCTTTCTTTTTTTTTAAAGAAAAGGGATAAGATAGTCATCTTCTGCCTGGGGGATGAAATAAATTATGCAGCAAAAGAAGAGCCTCAATATCCAAAATATCCTAAGTATTTTCTTGCATTGCCCCTCTTGCCCCCTACCCTGGAAATGCCCAGAGAATAATCTAAAGCACTGGTTCCCTAAGTGTGGGTCCCAGACCTGCAGCACCCATTAGCACCACCTGGGAAGTGCCAGACAGGCCCCACCTCAGACCTGTTGACTCAACAACCTTGGGGCAGGGGACTGGCAAGTCTCAACAGGCCCTCCAGGGGGTTGGGAGCAACTTTGTCTAGAACTGCACCTTCAAAAGGACAACCACTAGCCACCTGTGGCTACTCTACACCTGGAATGTGGCCAGTCCAAAATGAAATATGCTCTAAGTATAAAATACACACTAGATTTTGAATTTTAACTCACAAAAAGAATGTTAAACATTCATATTTCTGTTATGTGGATTGCATGTTGAAATGGTAACGTTTCCTATATATTGGCTTAAACAAAATATATTGAAACTAGTTTCTTTTCTTTTTTTCCCATATTGCTTATTGGTGCCACGTAATTTTATACAATGGTGGGTCACCTGTTTCTTTTCACTTTTTAAATGTGTTACTAGGAAATTTAAGACTGTCTTATTATATGACTTGGACCGTGCCTGACGGCATACTCCTCTTGACCAGCTCGGATCTACAGAGTAGTCAACTTGGCTCGTAACACTGACACCTTAGGCCTGGTCCTCCTTAGTGGAAAGGAAGACAACTGGGGTGAGGTTAATTCAGATGGGGAGCCCTGTTGGCTCTGAACAGACCTGAGATCAACAGGTGCTAAGTCACACCAGTGGGGGACTTTCAGCTCTAGAGACCCACAGAGCGCACAGCAACCCTGGGATCCAGGTGCCCATCATTCAGGAACAACGATGGGTCATGGTATCTCTGCCCCCTACCCCTCTCCTGGGCCAGTGCCAAGAGCTCACAAGAGCCATACCCTCACCCTAAATCCCCAGACTCCATTTTAGAGAGAAAAGGAGGAAAAGCCAGAAGTGGTACAAATGGTACTGGGGCCAGGCATGGTGGCACATGCCTGTAATCCCAGCGGCTTGGCCAGCCTCATCAACAGTGAGGTGCTAAGCAACTCTGTGAGACCCTGTCTCTAAATAAAATACAAAATAGGGCTGGGGATGTGGCTCAGTGGTCGAGTGCCCACGAGTTCAATACCCTCCCCCCACACACACATACAAAAAAGTATTCTGGCATTTTAGAAGATTTTTTTAAAAATATTTATTTTTTTTAGTTTTAAGTGGACACAATATCTTTATTTTACATTTTTATGTGGTGCTGAGGATCAAACTCAGTGCCTCAGGCATGCTAGGCGAGCACTCTACCACTAAGCCACAACCCCAGCTCCTAGAGGGTTTGAAATGGTTAAATGAAGCTATGCTTTCCTTGGCGGCCCACCTCACGTGCCTCAGGAGGGCATATCTGTTTACAAAGAGGCTGGTTTCTGCAAATGGCCAGTTTTGACATGGCAAATATCACGCTGATAATGAATTAACACTTCTGATACAATTTGACCAAATATTTTAGCAGGCCCTTCTGCCTCTCTGTTGCTTCTTCCTTTTTCTTCCAGAAAAAGCTAAAATTCTTCATGTACATAAGACACTCCCTACCATGCCAAACAATTGGAGAAAAACACTCCTAAGTTATTGAACTAAGACAAATCCATCATTTGCCGAGAGAAGGTCGCCAGAGCTAAAGAAAGGGCTGCTGAAAATATCTCGCCAACTCCAGGAGCGTTTCAGGGCTGCAGAGACTGATGTCATACTTTAAAAAGAACAGTCCTGGATTACATAACCTTCTCCGGGTAATCTTGGCACTTTGGATCCCTGACGAACTGTAAACTTTTTGAATTTTAAACTCCTTTATTAGAGTCAGGGCCCCAGCAGGGAACAGTTAGTTGGCACACTCAAATAGGATGTTTTGAGGAGCATTTGTTTGTGAAAATACTATCCACGGGGAAGCGAGCACAAGTGGGTCTAGGCTAGGAGCCAGAGAGAGAGCTAGTGCCACCTCTAGGCTCAAAGGGAAGAGCACAAGAAGCCTGGAAGTCTGTGTTGGGTTGGCCACCTCTGGACAGTGAATTTTTTGTAAGAAACTCCACTGTGCTAAGAGGGACTGGTCCAGAGGTTGCCATGGGAATAAGGCCCTCTCTCCTCCCTGCCTCCCATCTCCAGCTGGGGATCCACTGGTCCAAGTCCATGGAAAGCCCAAAGACAAGAGGGCCATGGTGGGGAGACCCACAGGACCTCAGAGCTCAGGGGCCGGGTGCAGAAACGGGTCAAGAGGGACAAAGGAACACTCCCTGTAACCCCCTTAAGACAGAAATCTGTTCCAATTATACGTACTTTTGTTTGTAGAGCAAATATAGTGAGTGCTAATGTCACCAGAGTGGTTGCTGCTGTGGCCCACAACACTTCCTCCGCATTATAGAAACTAAAACCAGAGACTGCAATTACTGTTCTCATACATTCAAGGAAAGGCACACACAATAATAAGGAAATATGTAACGAAGACTTACACTGATATGGTTCCAAGCAGCAGACCTTGAAGAAGTGTCTAAAAAAAAAAAAAAATTCACAATAAATCAGAAGCCTGCTTTTCAAGGCATGAGGCTGAGATCCAGAATCCACAGGCGGTGGTTTGAAGTGTGGCTCTGGGCAGGGTCTAGGGAGCAAGCAAGAGAGTACACGACCCTGGTGCTCAGAGCTATGGGGCGAGTGTGGGAAATCAACAGTACAACCAACCGTTTCTGTCACAGTCTTCCTAGGTCTAACAAGAGGAAGCCGTTTACCAGTGCAAGTTTCTTAAAACACAATAGTATATTTAACATATCCAGTGAATTAAATACGTACTAATTACGAATGTGGAAACCAAGTATGTGCATGTATATACACGAATGTGCCTCAGTAAAGCTCACTATTCTGTATAATTAATACTATGCACTGATAAAAGAACATTTTTAAAGTTCATCTGTGGATTCTGTTGTCATTAGTTGAATGGTGCCATCCACACAGTCTTAGAACACTATCAGATCAGGATATGCTCTCTCTATGAATGCTTCACCCAGAGTCTGGGGACTGACACTTTCCAAAGGACCTGGGGTGAGAACCCAGACCTTCCCAGTGCCAGGAGATGGAACTGGGGGGCAGTTCCTGGCATGTGGCACTGCGTCTGTAGGCGCTAACCCTGGGAGGAAGGAGGAAGGCTGCACTGGAGAGTTCCCACCACCCAAAGGGAGCCGAGGCTGGTGGGGCCAAGAGCCAGCAGGCAGTCAAGTTGGAGGATGAGAGCAAGGACGGCACCACAGATGTGTCAGGCTCAGGACAGCCACAGCCACGCTGTGAGGAAGACAGCCCCGCGCGGGTGGTGGGACTACGTTCCTCAGGCTGCTGAACGCTCAGTCAGAGCAAACCCGAGGATGTGGAAGATCCACGGAAAGAGCCAGGAAAGGGTCCTTCTGTCTCAGGGAACAAAAAGGAGGGTGCAACCTGACAAGTTTGAGGACTCCACGGCGTTGGCTTTGAACTTGAGCCAACAGGATCAGAGGCTGGAAAAGAACTGGAGCCTCAAAGTCCTGGGTTACCTGTCTGGCTCTCCCAGGCCCAGGCTCTGCCTGACTCTCTACTTTGATAATCTTGCCCAAGTAGGCTATCTCTGTTTCCATTACAGGAACCAGGCATTTACTTACTCCATGTGCACACAATATTGTAGTCATTCGCTTGCCTCCACCTTCCTCACAAGATGCTTCCTCCCTCTTCTCCTAACTCAGTGGTTTCATTGCAGCATATTAAAGGTGTGTGTGTGTGTGTGTGTGTGTGTGTGTGTGTGCGTGTGTAGAGGGGGGGGCAGAGAGAAGGAAAGGAAGAGGAACAAATCAGCTGTAGACTCAAACCTGTCTGATGACTTCAAGAGCTCAGAATATGGGCTCCAGGGATCAAGGTTTCATGGGACAAAAAGTATCTTCCATGAGTATGTTTTCCTGTTTTCTTTCAACTCCTTTTTCAAAATGGTTTTACCCCTATACTTCCTAACACTTGGGCAAGATATTAACCCTAGAAAATACAGCTAATTCTTTCCCCCTCTACAACATATCTTCTCTTCAGCTGTTACTTGCTTTGAGAACAAAACCTCAACAAGGACAACTTTCTCTGGAGACCAACAGCTTTTATCTGTCTCCTCTTGTAATCTGCATTGAAACCATTTGAAATGTTAAAAGGAAAAATTCAAACATTTCTAGGAAACTTGCCCTCTCCTCTCCTCTCAGCTTCAGAATCTCACAGCTTCCTAAACCTGCCCGTTGCCCTGCCCACTCTCAGGTGCTTTCTGGGCTGTCAGGGCAGGCACCGGGACACCCTGCTTGCCGACCTGTGCAATGAGCAGGGTATCCATGCCAACCCAGGGAGGCTCCTCGATGCTCTCACAGCAGAGGAAATGCCTGACTGCGGGCAGCAGGCAGCCAGTCTTCTCCAGCCTCAAGAGGAAGCTATTCCTCCTGGGTGCTGCTTGACATGGAATGCTGAGACTGACATCTTGGTCATGGGTCCTCGTTTGCTTTGACCACCAGGAGGTGCAGAACCAAAGCTAGGATCCCTACACCCAGGTGTACAGGAGTTAGTGCATCTTGCACATCAATCGAACCACTGGGTTTATTTTCCTATTTTTTCTCAACATCTTATCTTGCACACATTTGCATAAGCTACCTCAAATCTGATTTGGAACCAGATAAGGAATAAACTTACTTACCAATTGGTAAGTAAATTTTCTTATGCAAGGATGGTCAACACTACATGGAAGAAACTCAAAGACTCAAAAAGAGAATCATGTGCTGACTCTATTCCTGAATCACACTGGGATGGTTCTGGATTTTCCCAAGAGGAGCAAAACACCATAGCAATTGCTACACGTGAGTTCCTGGGAGACCAAGGCTTCCAGAAGGTTCTCGCCTTCTGGGCCCGATGGTTCTGTTAAGTGAGAGGGTTAGGGAAATAACTCTTAGATGCTGCTAAGTCCCTGGGAGCTTAGTGTTGGGATGGATGTGGGGATAATGACAGGAATCCAGATTCTATTCAGGGTCAGGAAATCTAGGCACTCAGGTAGCTGTGGAGAGCTGGAAACATCCTGGCGGGGGTGGGGGGAGGGTCTTTCTGTTCTGAGCAGAAGAGAAAGTAACTGGCTACAAGAAAGGGAGCCACATAGTTTCATGTGACCTAGAGGGGTACGGAATGACAGAAAAGCAGGTGTAATGAGGTTCTGTCACAAGTGGGGTCAAGTCACCCCAGAGAGGCTCTGGGGAACCAGGAACCAAAGTGAGGCTAATGAGCACGAGAAGCCCTCAGACTCCCAACTCTTGGGCGCTGGAAAAGTTCTCCTGAACTGAGAAGAAAGTCGTGGAACTGGGAACAACCTGAGCTCAGAGATGGCTTCTGCTCCCAGAGGGACTGGAACGAGAAAAAAACACACTCTTTACAAAAATAAAGAAAATGGCATTCATGAGTTTGTGAACTAGATACGAAACCACCTTCCAGAACAAAATGTGCTATTGTGCCTGACAGAGATCCCGGGACAATCAAGTTACCTGTTCTTGAAATGCAGCCCTGACTCATGAGAGGGTTCCCCAGGTAGCCTTATCAGAGCTCAGCTTGCCAGTGGGAAGGAGCAGCTTAGGAGTCCAAACACTCTAACTTGCTAAAGAGGTGTGGTTGCTACCTCAGAGGTAAGTTTACTGCCTCATTACAACCAGAACTTCTCTCAAGAGTATTCCACAGATAATCCCTATGTGCATTACTCCACAAGAAGAGTCGCCACAAGAAAAGGGAATGAATTTAACATGGCAACTAAAATATATGTCAGAGGTCAACTAGAGCACGGGCAAAGTTTACTTACAAAGAATCCCAGGAGAATGTAATTTGCAGGCACCTGACGGCGAAGATTCCCACAGCAGGCAAGTATAATTAGTACAACAAAAAATGCTGGGCTGCAGGATAATGTAAAACCAAGTGTTATTTACATCCAATGATTATATTATATGATATATACAGACAGATATGCAGACTATATCATTATAACATTATCTGATAAAAATTACAAAATTATAAAAATGACATCTCCTTTCTCTCTTCCTCTCTGCCTTTAAAACTTTTTTTTTTTCATTGCCATCTGAAGATAGCTTGTGGGGTATTTGTATCTTTTTATTTTAAAAATAATTATAGATTCACAGCAAATTGCAAAGAGACCAAAAGGTCCCATGAAACCTACACTCAATTTCCTCTGATGATTGCAATTTATATATTTATAATGTAATATTAAAACCAGCAATTTGACATCGATATGGTGTGTCTATCTAGTTTTTTTACATAGAACTATGACACAAATCTATGTGTAAATACAAGTAACCACCACCAGGATCAAAATTCAGAGCTATTCTATCAATGACACATCAACAAAGACTTCTCTGGTGTTACCCACCCCCTTTATTGTGACACACACACACACACACACACACACACACACACACACACACCTCAATCCTGACTGGTGGCAAGCAATCATTTGTTTGGTTTCCATCTATATAATTTCGAGAAGATTATGCCTTTATTACCTCATTTTGAATAGTAGTTGAACCTCAGTCAATAGCTAGTTAAAAAACAAGATTTTATTAAAGTTGAGGATACTTACAAGAGTGCATAGGTGAACCAGGGGTTTGAACGTACCCACGTTTTTAAACCTTTCCTAGTTAAGAAAAAAAAATTGATATAGTTTTACATGACAAATAGTACATTCTGTTAACTGATGTCATATTTAAGCAGAAGTAAAACACTATCATGAAAAGAATGGCGGGAACCCACAATGATTAGTAATGACAGATAGGGATAAAACTGTGGAGTTTTGCCTAGCACAGGTGAGGCACTGGGTTCAATTCTCATGCACCACATATAAAAATAAATTTAAAAATAAAGGTCCATTTACAACTAAAAGAAAAAGTTTAAAAACTGGTTTTTTGTTTGTTTTTCTGTTTTTTGCTTTGTTTTTTGGTACTAGGGATTTAACCCAGTGATGTTTTACCACTGAGCCACATGCCCAGCCCCCACCCCTGCTTTTTTTTTTTTTTTTGAGACAGCGTCTCACTAAGTTGCTTAGGTCCTCCCTAAGTTGCTGAGGCTGGCCATGAACTTGCAATCATCCTCCTGCCTCAGCCTCCTCAGTCACTGGGATTATAGACATGTACCACTGCACCCAGCTGGAAACATTTTTCTTAAAAGAGAAATAGGCTGGAGATATAGCCCAGAGCAATGCTCAGCATGAGTGAGGTCCTGAGTTTCATCCCCAGCACCAAGGAGAACAAAGATGCATTTATAAAAAAGGCATTTTTTTTGTAAGTGGTAAGTCAAACTTAAATAAATGCAAACACCTAGTGAAGTTCTTTAAAAAGTACTGAGGTTGATATGCATACAAGCTAAAATAAATCATTCATCTATTTCATAAGTTCAGATTTGCATAGGATGCACACTTAATCAGTAATAGATCATAGTCTCTCAAATATTTAATTCCAGCCTCCAAGTTCTCACCTTTTTCCTGTATCCAGTTTAATCTGTGAAAATAGGGCAAGTAAAATAGTACCCAAAATAACAGGAAGAAAAACGTTCTTGGCTTAAGAAGGAGGTTAAAGTAGAATTCTAGAAATCTACCACCACCTTGGTCTAGGAATTGCTTCAGAAAAACAAACCTGTAGAAATATCATCTCTGATGAATAATTAAGAAAAAATATAATTTTTAAATGATCAAAATTAAAAAGAGTTGATTCAATGAGAATTAATGTGAACAACTTAACATTTTATGCTACACCAGTGATAAAGACTTACCAGAAAATAAACATGCTGATAATTGTCGCAGTGACTAACAACTGGGCTGACAGGAGAAGGAACACTTTCACAATGAAAGCTGAGAAGACAGAAACATTATTTTAGTGACACAAATATTCCAAAGTAAAAATACAAATGTAATTACCTAATTTTGATACTTAATGAAGTTTTCCTTTGATTTTTTATAATGTTATTGTATTTTTATACCTTTATTTTTAAATATTTTTTTTATTTGTTGATAGATCTTTATTTTTTTTTTAATTTATATGCAGTGCTGAGGCTGGAACCCAATGCCTCATTCATGCTAGGCAAGCACTCTACCACTGAGCCCCAGCCCCAGCCTCTTCCTTTGATTTTTTTGAGAATGAGAGAGGTAGTGAGAGCTAATTTCCAGTCAGCAAATGCAATAACAAAAACAAATACAACTCTGCAGAGCCTTTAAAGAGTATTTAATCAAAGGTGGACACAGTGACATATGTCTGTAGTCCCAGAGCTTGGAAGGCTGAGGCAAGTCGATCCCTAGATCCCAGGAGTTCCAGGTCAGGCTGGACAACAAAGCAAGAGTCGGTCTCGAGTCCAAACAACAACAATGGAAAATAATTTCAACCAATTGTTAATTATGTTTTATTGGAAACTTTAGAGTTTATCGATAGAAACCCAAATTTTCACAAACTCAGGGATTTAATTCTTTATTAGGCACTCTCCATCTTCCTTAGGACCAAAAAATGATCTGCAAGTCTCGGGATGTGGCAGTTTCCTCCTAGGGATCCAGCTACTCCCCTGGACAGAATGGACAACAGCAACGGCCCCTGAGCCTGCTGCAAGTGAACAGGATGCTTACTCCTCTGGAGGTGGCCCTGGGCTGCAGAGTGTTCAGAGTTCCCAACTCTCCAACCTGACTGCCATTAGCAACCCCCTTCCTTCTTATTTATAAATGCAGAAACTGAATAACCTGGTGAATTATGTCAGATCAGAGTTCCAAGTGAGTGACAGTATAGTATGCCAGCATCTCTTTTTGCTCACTTTTAAAAATATTTTTTAGTTGTTGATAGACCTTTATTTTATTTATTTATTTTTATGTGGTGCTAAGACTCATACCCAGTGCCTCACCCATACTAGGCAAGCGCTCTACCACTGAGCTACCCTCTACTGCACAGGTCTTCCTGGGGTCCTCTAAACTGGCCATGCCACTGGCAATGATAATTTTCTTTTTTGCATGGCTTTATCTCAATTTAAAAGGGAAAAAAAATGAAATAATGCCACTTAGAGTGAACTCATAGGACGGCCAACTCTGTCCTTTTGCTGGGCAGTTTCTATTCACGAAAGCGTGACAACAGAGGAGAGGGACAAAGTTTTCTTAATCAAAATACCAGAGCATACATCTCCAATTGTGTGCTGCCTTCACTAAAATATTCATTTATCTAAAGTTAATTTGGCATCTATTGTACAGCGGGGACTGTGAGAAAATAAATAATAAATGTGGCCCAGAATCATAATAATAGACCCATAGATCAATGAAATAGAGTTGAGAGTCCAGAAATAAACCCTTGCTTTTATAGTCAATTGATTTTTTTTTAATAAATGTGCCAGAACAATTCAATGAGGGGCAAGAATAATCTTTTCAACAAATGGATCTGGGACTCCTGGATATATATGTACAAAAGGAGGAATTGGGAATTTTTCCTCATGCCACAACACAAAGATTAACTAAAAATCAGGTTCTAGGCATAAACATAAGAGAAAAACTCTTAGAAAAACAAAGGCAGAAGCCTTCAAGAGCATGGATTAGGTAATGAATTCTTAAATATGACTCCTAACGCACAAGCAGAAAAAAAAAACTGATAAATTGGATTTTCATCCAAGTAAAGGCTTTGTGCTTCCAATGACATCATCAAGAAGGTGAAATAACTCACAAGAGTCTTCTGACAAAGGACTTTCTTTCTTTTTTCTTTTTTTAAAATAGTTTTAGTTTGGGGCTGGGGATGTGGCTCAAGCAGTAGCACACTTGCCTGGCATGCGCAGGGCGCTGGGTTCGATCCTCAACACTACATAAAAATAAAATAAAGTTATAAAAAAAAAATTTAGTTTTTGATGGCACAATACCTTTATTCTATTTATTTATTTTTATGTGGTGCTGAGGATTGAATCCAGTGCCTCCCACGTGCTAGGCAGGCGCTCTACCACTGAGCTACAACCCCAGCCCCAGGACTTTCTGATTAGGGACTTGTTCTACAGTCCATGAGGAACTCTTGTAATTCAATAACAAGGAGACAAATGACATAACTAAATATAGGCAAAGCTTGGGCAGCAGCCTCCCACACTGACTGCCTGGCCACAAGACTCGCTTTGACCAATGGGACATTTGCATGTGATGCAAACAGAGGCTTGGACAGCTTGCCTATCGGAGGGTGTCCTCAGTACACCTCTTCCTGGGATCCACATAGCGAGAAGCTCAAGCCACAAGAAGTCAGCCAACACCCTACAGCAACTGCCAGGCATGTCAGGGAGACACGACAGACATAGCAGTCTCAGCCATTGTCTGATTATGAGAGCACAAGGTTGCCAACTGAGCCCTGGCAAACCCTAGAATCATGACAGAGAAAGAAAACGGTGGGTTTACAAAAACGGAGAGTGTGGCAATGGCTTTGAATCTTATTCTCCAAAGAAGACATTTGGAAGGCCAATTGAGCATGTGAAAAAGCACAAATCAAAACTCCAATGAGATACCACTTCACACACACCAGAATGACTATGATCAGAAAAAAGTTGGCAAGGATGCGGAGAAATGGAAACCTTCATATATTGATGGTTGGAATGTAAAATGTCAGTTTATATTTTATAAACTGTTTATAACAGTTTGGAAGTTTCTAGGTAGCTACACAAGAGAAATTGAAAGGATGTTCACACAACAGCCAAGGTTGACTGCAGCATTGGTGTGTAATAACCAAATAGTGAAATAGCTCAAATCTCTGTCAACTGATGCATGCATGGTTAAACAAAATGTGTTATACCCAGGTAATGGATTACTACACGGCCATAAAAAGAAATGAAGTAGAGACACATACTACAACATGGTTGTGCCTTGAAACCATTATGCTAAGTGAAAGAAGGAAATCACTAATCACCACATGCTGTGCAACCCCCATTTGTATGAATCGCCCAGAAGAGGCAAATCCATGGGGACAGAAAGCAGACTCGTAGGAAATAACCACTAATGAGTAAAAGATTTCTTTTTGAAGTGTTAAATATGTTCTTAAATTGATTGTGGTGATGCCTGTATAACTATATAACAACCATTGAGGTATACCCTTAAAAGTAGTAAATTCAAACATCTATAGATTATATACATCACCATTCAGCCGCTTTAAAAATTTTTAGTCTAGGGCTGGGGTTGTAGCTTAGTGGTAGAGAGCTTGCCTAGCATATGTGAGGCCCTGGGTTCAATCCTCAGCACCACCTAAAACTGAAATAAAGATATTGTGTCCACCTACAACTAGAAAATAAAGACTTAAAAACAATTTTTAGTCCATGGGGCTGGGGTTGTAGCTCAGTGGCAGAGCACTCCTAGTTTCAAACACCATGGAAAAAAATTGTAGTCCTCATCCCCATAACTCTTAATCCATTACCCGACTCACCCTACCCCTTCCTTTTTCCGTAGCACTTTCATCTTTTTATATACTACATCACTTTTTAAAAAGTGCCCAGACTTCTTCCAGAAGAAGCGGATACGAGTGACTAACGCTGGTGAGGAGGCTTCTGCCTACTTTTCGATGACACCTCCTTAAGCCTCATTTCCACATCTGTAGGGCAGTCAACTTGGTTTGCAAGTTGCTGTAAGAACTAAATGCAGTCACATTTCCCTTGCATGACACCCTGAGGGCCTGGCATCTGTGGCAGAGGCACCCATTGCTAGAGGCGCCCACTCCCGCTGGCTTCCTCGCTATCTGACCCAGATCTTGGTAAGGGCAGCAACGGACCCAACTGAACCAGGACAGGGAGAGGTGGCCATGCAATGCAGACAGGCCAGTGACAGGCCACTGTAAACTCCTGCGGCTTCCGAGGCAGCCTCGGGAAGAGGTCAGGTGGGCTGATTCAGGATACCTCTGTGAATGGTGTCCCCTTGGAGCCGTCTGGGCAGCTGCCCTCCCTTGTCCCCTTGTTTGTCTTTGTCCCTTTGCCTTTTCTCTTTTCTTCCTGATGGGCGAGAGCTCCAGAAGGTACCTTTCTAGTCACAGGCTGCAGGGTGTGGGCCACAGGGTGACAGTGGTGGGATCCAAAGCTCATAGTCTATCTGCCAGTTGTCCAGGCCTGGGAAGGCTTAAGGGTGACACAGTGGCCAGCGGGGACCTGACACATTAGCTTCAAACCACCTTCCTTTGAATAGCATATTTCAGGAAAGAAAAAAAAATCTGATTTAAGTCTCAGGTTTTAAGTCTCTCTTACTAGTTGCTGAATGTATTCCTGACTTACAGAGAATATTTAGGACATCCAATGAATATCTTTTGAAACTTAAGTCAATATTATGTTATCACTTGGAACGTGGGGAGAACATTTTGTAGTTAATGACTAATTCTCATTTCTTTAAAAGGCCAAAAGTTGTTTGCCACATGTATATTATGAATTTCTGAATCTCCTGGACAACTTGGGTGTAGTCTACCATTGCGGTACTCTATCCTATCTCATGATACATTGTGAGTAGTAAAAGCTAATAGAATAATAATAAAAAGTCTCTCTGACAAGCAACACTGTGGAAATACTTTAAAAGAATGTTTGCCAAGGTAAGTGCTAGTAAGTGGCTGTACTGCCATTGTTCAGGAAATAATGACAAGAAAAAACAATGCCTCTCCATGTTCAGTACTGATGCCACCTCTGCTGTGCTTTGTTTTGTGTCTGAGGTACTAGGTAGCGAACCCAGGTCCTCGCAGGCGCTAGGCAACTGCTGTATTCACTGAGCTACACCCTCAGCCCTTGCTGCAACATTTTTCCCTTTACTTTTAGAATATTTTCAACTACAGTTGGTTGACTCCATCTATGTGGAATCCCCAGATAGGGAGAGTCAGTACTTATAAGAAATGAGGTAAGAATAGGAAAGCAGTTGTTGAACTAAGTGCGTAGCTGAATCCTCATTGCCGAAATCATTGATTTATTCTTTGATATGAAAAATAAATGTCAGTTAAAGAGCTGGCTTTATTTTGTGATACAGTCAGTTATGGAAACATACTGACTTCAAGTTCTTCACGTTGAAAAGGGAGGGAAGGAGAGCAAGAGAGAGGGTAGGAGGAGGAAATAAAGGAAGCAAAAAGAAAGGAAGGTAGGCTAAAAGTTCACCCGCATTTGCCTAATTAGCATAATCCCCAGAATGCACTATTTGGGGGGCTTTGAAAAGTTAACAGGATATACAGTGATTTTGCTTCCGGATAGATACCCAAAAGAACTGAAAGCAAGTGCCTGAAAATATTTCAGTACTTCTATATTCACGGCAGCATTATTCACCATGGGCGAAAGGTGGGAACACTATGTGTCCATCAGAGCATGGGTGGATGAGCAAAATATGACAGACACACACAATAAAATAGCATCTAGACTTGAAAAGGGAGGAAATTCTGATATATGCTACAACATAGGTAAACATCAGGTGAAGTAAGTGAAGCAGGTCAGTCCTCAGAGACACATGTTGCATGATTCTCCTCGTGTCAGTTACTTAGAGTGACAGAAAGTAAATGGTGGTTGCCACAAGCTGCAGGGAGGCAGAACAAGGAATTATAACAAAAGATATTGAATTTGAGTTTTGTGAGGGGCAAAAGTCATATGAATAGATCGTGGTGATACTTGCACACTGTTTGGGATGTAGTTTTAAAATGTTTTAGTAGCAACTTTTTAAACTAAATTTTTAAACTAAATTTAAAACCAAACTAAATTTAAAACTTTTTAAACTAAATTTAAAACCTAAATTTAAACTAAATTTAAAACCAAAATTTTAAAAATACATTTTTAAGAGAGAGAGAGAGAGAGAGAGAGAGAGAGAGAGAGACAGCATTTGCTCTTCTTTTCCAAAAAGGTAATTTCTGTCTTCTCACCTCTGCGGACAGCATCGTCTGAGAATGCGGTGGTTGTGACTGTACTGCTGTCAGCTGGGGTTGGCTCATCTGAAATTTGTACCACATAGGTATGTGCGCGATCAGTAGCCTTGGGGTGTGGACTCCCTTGGGTTTCCTGGACCCCAGGTGAAGGTGTAGATTTGGGGGGCTGGCCAGATTGAGATTGGGCCCTTTTATCTGCTGCTTTCCGAATCAGATGTTGATCTCCTGAACTAAAGTCTATTGGCTCACTGATCTCCAAGTCCATTTTCCTGGAAGAGAAAAAGTGTTATTCGTGTCCATACCTCTATAACCTTAGATCCCTGTGACATTCAGGTAATTTCCCCCCCAATTTTAATTATCTTGGCCCTGTCCTTGAGCACCAAGCCATGACAGTGTTTAGTAAACATTCATTAAACAAATCATGAACAAATCTTTGTAAGATGAGGCTCATAGAGTAGAATAACTTGCATTCTATTATGAAATTAATATTTTTATAAAACAGGGATCTAAGGCCACCAAAGAACTCACATTTTGAATAGAAGGTAAGCAAACAAGCAGTAAGGTGAGAGACAATATAAGCAGGCCAGAAGTTTGGAAGGATGGTATGAGAGCCCTTCACAAAGGGCTGGAGGAACAGGCAGGGAGTAGAAGGGGTTTTCCAAAGCTTCCAGAGAAGTGGGGGTTAAGCCAAGCCTGCAGGTTGTGTAGGAGTTGGTCAAGGGAAGAGGTGGAATATGGTTTTCCCAGGCAGAGGGAACAGCCTGGAGCAGGGGAGGAGCAAGCAGACAGGTCTAGAAACTGAAAGAAGTTCAGGTATCTGGGGTACGAAGCTCAAGAGTACAATGAGGTTAAACAGAGGGGCGTGGAGCACATCACTGGCGGCTGGCAAGTAACTTAAGGAGTCTGGGTATGGTAGGTAGAATAACAGTTCCCAGCGATGCGCACATCCTACTCCTCGGGACCTGTGGACGTTACCTTGCATGTCAAAAGAACACTGCAGATGCTGTTAAGGACTTTGAGATGGGGAGATGGTCCTGGAACCAGTCAAATCACGAGGTTTCTTACGATCCGAATTTTAAGAGGGAGACAGAGGGATAGAATAAGAGAAGGAGAAGGGACAATGGAAATAGAGGTTGGAGGGTTACAGGTGTTGTCTTTGAAGATGGAGGAAGTGGCCATGGGTAGAGGAGTGCTAAGGATGTTGGAAAAAGCAAGGAGTTGGATTTTCCTCTAGAGCCTCCCGAGAATGCAGAATGCAGCCCTGCTGGCACTCAGCTGTAGCCCAGCAGAACTGATTCAGGGCCTCTGACCTGAGGAATCAGAGGATAATCAACGTGCTGTTGTCATGCACCAAGTTTGTGATGATTTCTAACAGCAGGATGTCAAGGGTTCTCTTGGGGAACATGAGGACTCAGCAAGTCCCCTGCTGCAGGACTTCTGTTCCACAATGGGCCACGAAGGAGTCTGGGAAGGAGACTGCTGAGAGAGCAAAGGCTTGGACAAGCTGGAGGCCAAGGAGGAAGGGCAAAAAAGGAGGTCTCAACAAAACCCCAGGCTCCTGGAGAAGCATATGTGATTCGGTAAAAATGTTCCCTCTCCTTAAATTACTTTCTACGCTTTACAAGGTTTGTTGGAATTTTTTTCCAATACATGAAATTATAACTGTAAAGTTCATTGGAAACAGTAAACGTATGAGAATAATCAAGAAACAGTGAGAAAGAGAAGAATTGTGAGGGGAGGGGTAGTGATTTACTTTATCAGGAATCAAAACATCATTAAACAATATGGTTAAAATTATAGTACTAATGTGGCAATAGATAAATGGATCAATGGGATGGGAGAGATTCAAAAAACAAACTGATATATTTGGGGATGTAATATTGGATAAAGATGGAATTTCAAATTATTGTCTCATGTTATTGGAACAATTATGTATTTGGAAAACAAAATAAGCTTTAATACCTATTTTGCATTATATACAAAAATGTATTCCTTGTGAATTAAACATATTATCATATACAATAATAGTCATAGATATTCTACAATAAAATACAAGGGCTGAGCATGGTGGCACATGCCTGTAATCTCAGTGGCTCGGGAGGCTGAGGCAGGAGGATGGCGAGTTCAAAGCCAGCCTCAGCAATGGGGAGGCGCTAAGCAACTCAGTGAGACCCTATGTCTAAATAAAATACAAAATAGGGCTGAAGATGTGGCTCAGTGGCTGAGTACCCCTGAATTCAATCCCTGGTACCAAAACAATAAAATAAAATACAAGGAAAATTTTTAGAAGCCTTTGTAAGAATGATACCATAAAAGAAGTGCTGGGCAGATTCGGGTACAGGAATACTTCAATGCCATTACAAAGAGATACCAATAAATCTAAAATGCAAAATAATAAAAATAATATTTGCAATGCTTTCTGTATTGTAAAAAGGACTTTATCAATGAAAATACAGACAATCCAAGACAAGGATGAGAAAAAAAACATGAACAGGCAATTCACAAAGGAAATTTTAATGGTCAGTAAATTTCTCTTCTGAGAAAGCAGCAAGACCTCACAAACAACCAAGAACTGTAAGTAAAAACAATAGTGAAATGTAATTTTATTTTCATAAAAGACTGGCAAAGATTAAATATAATCCTCAGGCTTGTAAGAATATAAAGAAACAGATTAACTGAGAGCCTTGCTTGCATGGGAACTATGCATGCTTGTTTCCCATGGGATCCCTCCTCCAAGAAAACACTTGAATATATATATATATTCAATTATTATATATATATAATAAAAATTAAGTATACTTCAATCCTAAATCATCTTTTATAACGGCATTGCTAAAAAGATGAATATGAGCCAGCCTAAATTCATTATATGTTAGCTATTCATTATTATATTTATTTTTCTCTAGATTTTAAACAAAATTAAAATAGTATCATGCCACCCCCAAAACAGTCATGGGCCCCAGGCATGCAGCCTACTGTGCCTAGTGGGTAAGTCAGCCCTGGTACAACCTGGCAGCATGAAAACTTTTTTGGGAAGTGGAATGGGATGCAATTTGGCAGCATCTATCAGATATCAAAATGTGTATTGTTAGACCCAACTGTTAGGTTTTTAGAACTTTACCCCATAAATATATTCACTAGTAATTAAAGATACACATAAAAGGAAATTAATTACATCATTCCTTGCTTATAACTGCAAAACAAAACAAAAACAAGGAAAACGGCCTAATATCCATCAGCATATAAAGGGTTAAATTAATTTTGGATAGGAAAAGGCAGATATATATGGATTAATGTGAAGTTCACTGTGATACAGCTTTGAATTTTTAAAGTAAGATTAGAAAATAATATTTAGTAGAAAATCATATTTAGTGAGGTTACTTAAATGTCACACACACACACACACACACACACACACACACACATCTTCCAAGGAGTGCAAAGATATACTACGAACTGTTTAGTTATCTCTGACATAGCAGAGTTGGGGAATACACTCTGAATGGTATGGATTTTAACAATGAACATTTATTACTTATAATAATAATAAAATATATATTTACATTTTGAAGAGAAAAAGATCTATTTCTCTTGTTGGTAAAGTCCGGAGCTCTTCTGAGAAAGCAGCCTTCACACAAAAATGAGAAGCATTGAAAGATGCTCAAATAACCAACCTGGTTTCTTCCCGAGTCCTGTGAATCAGAAATGGGAGAGAAAGCAAGATTTTCAAGGCACTCAAAAAACAAAACCAACAAAAACCAAAGTCAACTGAGCTTTCCTCATGAAACTACATTAGGCTGGTGCCTGAATCACAAAGTGAGACCTTCACCTGGTCCTTAAAAATCTCTGCTGGCTCCCGAAGCAGCCGTTATCCACAGGACAGGCAGGTGCTGTGACTGAGAAGCAAAGTTCTGAGCGACAGTTAGGGGAGTGGCAGTTGGAGATTTGGTGTGGGCTGGGGACCCGCTGCCTGGCCCAGGGGCGAGATCAAACCCCATCCGCCAGGCCTCTTCCAAACTAGCTATTGCCCCCTGTGTTGGATCTCAGGGAGACCCACATTTTGAGTCATCAAACCAATTCCTTGTCCCAGAACAGGAGACTCCATCCAGGAGGAAGCGGTGTCTCTTCCACCATGCCATCACTGTCTCTAGAGCAGGAGGAAGATGATCATGAAACTCCAGTGGGGGCGCCCTTCAGAGGTCCTGCACAATTATTCCAAATAAGTAAGAATCATTTATGATAAAGTCGGGGCTGATCTTCACAGTGAGTGAGGATCGTGGTGCCCTCCCATGGTACAGGGAGACTACTACCTGCGGGTGGCAGGCCCATGAGCAGCTGGGGAGGGGCCCCTTTCAAGCTGCTTGGGGAGAGAAGTCAGAGGATTAGGTAAGGAACAGCTAGTCCCTTTGACTGGGATGGCTCGTCAAGAAGGAGAAGGGGAGCAGGAACTTGTCCTGTTGCTGCTGAGAAAAAGTGATTCATTAAAGCTAGTGCTTGTCTACTCTGCCCAAGCAGTGGCGGAGTGGAAGAAATACAAAGAGCAAAGAGACACGCTTCCTTCCCTCATGGTCAGCCAGAGGGGATGTGTGCAAAAGGGTGCACCCAAGGTAGAGAAAGGGAAGAGTCGTTGAAGGGAACAGTATTCAGGGGTAGAGTTGGAGATGTATTTTCATCATGGGTCTGAGATGATTGTTGGAAGGTTAGGGTCAGATGTGAAGCACCTTCCAGGCAAAGAGAACCCCTAAGCCCTAGCATGAGGGTGGCGACCATGGGGACACCCTCTACAGAAAGTCGGTCCCTTAAGTCATAACATAGGAGGTGTAGGAGGTGTGCCTGCAGCGGAAGACAGAGATGTTATACCGACCCTCCTGAGGATAAAAAGGGAAAAGGTCAGTGAGAAAATCTTCCCTGACTCTCCTCTCGAACCTTCTTGCAGTTTCATGGGTCTTACTCCAGTCTCCAGGCTCTCTATCTGGTTTGTTGATGTTAACAGGCAATGTGAATGAATCATATCTTCTTCCAAAATGTATTTAACATGATTGACATGACTACATGTCAGGGGTATATCTGATGACTTGGCCACCGTTTGGACTAAAGACGTAGTTCCTCCCCCTCCTCCTTTCTTAGCTTACCAGCATCATAGTGGACACTAATCAGATACTTACTAAACGTAGCAGTTGTTTTCAGCCTCACATGGATGAACACATTTAATGCTCACAACAGCCCTATGAGTATGTTCTCGTTGCCCTCATTTAACAGGTGAGTAAATTAAAGGGAGATGGAGTGGCAGTGGCCCCTGCAATGCATGGGGAGAGGCCGTATGGTCAAGGAGACCTCTATCTCCCCATAAAGAAACAAAATGCGGTGAAGGCTTATCTCTTTGAAACCAGTCCTGTGATATATTTTGTATATCTGCTCTTTTCTTTTTTAATATTGAGAGTTTTAATTAATGAACTTACCACATTCAAATCAGACTCCATGCTAACACTGACAAGCCCCTGGGGAACTCTACTTCATTCTTTCCCCTTAGTGTGCATTTTTAAGACCTTGGGAGGTATTCATTTCTGTGTTCATTCCTTACACACACTAGTAACTCCACCACCACTACCACCTCAATTTCCCCAGACATTCCATAGACACCAAATTGTCTACGTGCTCCAGCTGAACCCTTCCTCTGGATTCAGGTTGAGAATCTCTTACTATGTGCCCATGGTCTGAATGTATTCCCCCAAATTCCTGTGTTCAAGTTTAACCAACAATGTGATAGTACTAAAAAGCGGAGCCTTTAGATTAAGTCATAAGGACAAAACCCTTCCACTCCAGGAGGGTACCTACATGGCCTTTCATGAGGATTTTTCAAGTTAAAAATTTGATATTTTTTCTTTATTTTTAAAAATAAAAGTCATGAATGCATGTGGTAAGAAAAAGTCAAACAATACAAAAGGGCGGAAAATGAAAAAAAAAAAATCCCCTCCCTGGCCACCCTTGTTGACAAAAATGTATGTAACAGAGAATTTATTAATTTGTACAACGTGATTTATTATATACATTGTTTTATAAAATGCCTTTTTCTCCACTAAATATCTGAGATTTTTTTTCTTATTAGTACATTTATGAACCTTGAATAGTTGCCTGTCTCACTCAAAATAAAGTCCGAAGTCCTTATTTGGACAACAAAAACTGATGCCCAAACCTGACAAAGATATTACAACAAAGGAAATTATAAGCCCACATCACTCATGAACCTAGATGTAAAAAATCTCAAAATAATAAACTAAACCCAACAATATATGAAAAGGATAATATATCACAAGTCACGTTTCATTCCCAAACTTGCAATGTTCATTTAACATTCAGAAATCTGTATAATCCATAGATTAATAAAGAATAAAAAACATTATGATCATCTCAAAACCATTTAATGAAATTGTGTTACAGCACAGGTGCCCACTGCTGTGGGCTCAAGACAGCGATGGTGGTCTTCTGATACCAGCTCTTTCAATCATACCAGCAAGATTTTAGACATGTTGCTCAGAGTAGCTGCACGAGTTTATTAGAAAGGATAGAAAAAGGGAAAGGGGAGGATGGGTCCTCTCAGAGGAGGATGGTACTCCTCTACTGTCCTCCAGTTGTATTGGGGAATCTCAGGAAAGTTTCCAGAGAGTCTTGCCCATATCCACCTCTTGACTTTTGACTGACAGCAGGATGGCATTAGATTTTTTCAAGTCCCATCTGTGCATGATAAATATCCAAGGCAGCTCTGGGTCACTTTATCCCATGCTGAACTGGTTTTTCTGGGGTTTTGTTTGTTTGGTACCAGGAATTGAACCCAGGAACAAAAGCACTGAGCCACATCCCAAACCTTTTTTTATATTTTAATATTTAGAGACAGAGTCTCACTGAGTTGCTTAGGGCCTTGTTAAGTTGCTGAGGCTGGCTTTGAACTTGAGATCCTCCACTCCTGCCTTAGCCTCCCAAGCTGCTGGGATTACAGGCATGTGCTACCACACCCAACTTGCAGACTTGTTTTAATTGGAACTTATTCTCACAGATTTTATGGTTAGGAGAATTACCCTAACCTCCCTGAGTTCTGGAACCTGGTCTGTGTAAGGGTTACAAAAGATCCCCCCCCCAATCAGGGTAACTTGCAATCTTCTTATCAGCATTTAGGGTCTACATTTCTCCAGCAGATAATAGGTTGTTTCCTGAGGAGCATCACCAGGAAGGGCTGCAGTTTAATTGCTTTTTTTTTAAGAGAGAGAGAGAGAGAATTTTAATATTACATTTCTCCAGCAGATAATAGGCTGTTTCCTGAGGAACATCACCAGGAAGGGCTGCAATTTGATTGCTTTTTTTAAGAGAGAGAGAGAGAGTTTTAATATTTATTTTTTAGTTCTCGGCGGACACAACATCTTTGTTTGTATGTGGTGCTGGGGATCGAACCTGGGCCGCATGCATGCCAGGCGCACACTACCGCGTGAGCCACATCCCCAGCCCCAATTTAATTGCTTTTTAAAAGAAAGCATGTGGGGGTCAGCACAGTGAGCCCAGTTTAGATAATTATCTCCTTAACTTCATGTTCCTACTGCTCACATGCATGATAAATATAGGACCAGAAGGAAATTTCTTTGCCTAATAAAGAAAATTTATAAAATCTACAGCATCAGAGTGATTATCTCGATAAAGAAAAGAACCTCATTTGCAATAGTTATGTCTCTTTCTCCATTTGGTCCCTGGAATGTGATTACTCTGTAATAATTAACCTGTACAAGTATGAGTTGGGTACTTTACAGTATGTGTTTGAATAAGTTGTTAAAAAAAATAAAGGAAAAAAAGTATACATCTCCCTAATGATCTCAGAAGGGTAGAAGGTACAGCCAAGAATTGGAAAGCAGACAGGATGGGGCATGACCTGAGTGGGATGAGGAAGAATTGAGATGCAGGCCCAGGATGGCGTCCTATGGCAGAAAGGAAGTTGGTAAGCCAGGGGTCAAGATCTTCAATGAATGAGAAAGTAACTTATAGCTGACATACAAAGAGTGGTATACACTGTCAGATGGAGGAGATAGACTAGCATAGGATTTAATGTCTAGAGTCCCTCACAGAGTACATTGCAGGGAAGGAAAATCTTCCTTCTACTTAAGTTCTGTGACTGGGCCTGAGAATTAAATTAACAAAAGAGAGATTAATAGGGGAAAAGCATACACATTTTAGTTAATATTTTTACATGCACAGGAGCCTTCTTTAAGAAAACGACAGAAGGGCCGAGGATGTATCTCAGTGGCTAAGTGCTTGCCTAGCATGCACAAGATCCTGGGTTGATCCTCAACAACCCCCCCCCCAAAAAAAGTGATGGAAACTTATGTGGCCTTTTAAACAAAGAATAATTGTGGTAATGTGAAAAGACTACAGGGCTTGGGCTCAGCTGGTAGACTGTGGGAAAGATACTAGAAAATATATAGGGGACACTAGTAGAAAATTAAGTGTTACAAATTTTAGTAATTTGTTTGCAGATTCATGTGGGAATCAGTTCTGTCTGGTAACAGGAACACAGGCATTCTTCTCTGCCTAACACAGGGAGTACACTTTGCATAAGGCAGGTTTCACATCCTGCTTCAAGTAGAAAGCTCCATTGCTGATGCTTCATTGCCCTCAACTCAAAAGAATTACAATTCAAAAGGGCCATATTTTAGGATATGCTCTGAACCCCTCCCTTCACCATTGCTCTGAAATGAGAGGGCACTCTACCTATTCTCTTCAACCCCTTTTACAGTTGGTTTACTCCCTGTAACAGTTCTGGAAGATTATTCTATTGGGGAAACCCTGGTGCTCTGAAGCTCTCTACCCTGCCCAGAAAAGGGACCCAGGGTCCAGGCTGTGATGACAGCCACGTCCAAATAGCAATCACCATTCATGGTAAAGTAGGGATATCTTGTTCCTAGGTTGTCATGAACCTACATGAGATTTCCTGATGTCATGGGCACTTAATACATGCTTCCCTCTCCCTCCAACATATTCCTCAAGATCTCTCCGAGGATGCCAAGGGTAGGAAACCTGGGATTGTGAAGAGGGCTATGCAATCACCAATTCACCAAGAGAGACTGAAGACACCCTTTTCGTGCCAGGCCAGCACTGATGAGCAACATATAATCAAGGTGGTTTGATTTCTCCTAGCCACTCCGCCTTGCCAGCTGTTTGTTCTCGAGTGCCTGTCGCTGTGTCTCAGGACCCTTTCAGGATATTCTCACAGTCAAAACTCTTTCCCCACAATGCTAAGCCAGCTATTTGTCTTTTCAAGTCCCATTTTCTCATGGGTGTTCTGTTTAGAGGCTGACGATGGCATCATTGTTCAAAGGCTAATGAACATGTGCTCTCTATCTTAGACTTTAAAATGTCTAAATTCTTTTTTTAATTTTTTAGATATATTTTTTAGTTGTCAATGGACCTTTATTTTTTATATATATGGTGCCTCACACGTGCTAGACAAGTGCTCTACCACTGAGCTACAACCCCAGCCCAAAATGTCTCAATTTTAACTCCCACCACATAAATATATATGAACATAATTCACATAAACCAACATATTGGGGGGGGTGACAAACTGTAAATTTTTTAAATATATTTTTT